TGTGACCTCAGGGAAGCTATAAGCTGCAGGGTTGATTTAGGGATTAATGGAGATAGTATTGACCACATAGCACAGGCCTGGCCAGGGCAGTGCTTAGGAAAGGTCTGTCGTGAGGACAGAATGACTATCAGCCCCAAGCTACTTTCTTCCACCATGCTGTGCGAGTCCTAGGGGCCCGGCACCCAGCACTCATGAAGGTAACCAGCAAGGTGCCTGTGCCCTGAGAGGTCTTAGGAGTCTGGGCCCTGGATCCTGCATTTCAGCAGTCTCCCCTGTGTCACTGGTCCCCACCCTGCCCCACCCTCAGCCATTTGCAGGCCTCCTTGGGTGGGGCGGTTGGGGCAGAGCAAGGAGGGGCTGAGAAGGAGGCAGCAGGAGCCACTATCAGCCAGCACAGGTGGAGGGGTCCAGCCCAGCCCTCTTATCAGCTCCCCAGCCCTGGGCTGCCATGTGCTGTCCAGTTCTGAGGCCCAGGCTACAGAGTTGGCCCTGTGCTCACAGCCCAAGCTCTTCCTCTGCTGGCATGGCTCCCATCAGGATTGGGAGTGGCCACTGGGAAGCAGAGAGACATCGGACTTGCTGCCCCTGTGTCATCCCTAAGTAACCACTTCCCTCCCTAGCCCCAGGGTCCTGTCTGTGAAACGGGGTGGTGGCTGCTGGATGAGGGGACCATGTCCCTTTGCTCTTCAAAGAGTTTGGAGTCTGCTACCCGCTGTGACGTAGCTACGACCATGAGAATCCTGAGGCTGAGCTGAGGATGTGACTTCTCCCATACCACACTAGTTGGCAGCGGAGCTAAGTGGCTGGGTCGTGTCTTCCCCCACATGCCCTCACCTTCCAGAAGATCTGTGGAGGAAAGACGGGCTGTGGGCTGCATCTTACAGGTTCTAGGAGGCAGTTGGTTGGTTGGAACCCTTCGGAGAGGCTCCAGCACGTGGGCACCAGGCAGCTGCAGGATCAGGGGTCACTCCTCAGCAGTGGCCCAGAGCAAGGATGGCAGGGTTTCCTGGACAATGTGGACAGGAGGCCCTAACTAGGCCCCGATAACAGCCCTTGCCTTATCTGTGGGTCAGGGACTTGGTGGGGTTCGTCTGAGAATCAAGGGTAGGTTCAGTAGAAATGAGGGGGGACAAGGAAGGGTGGGAGGCCTCCCAGTTTGGCAGGGAAGGACCCATGAGAGGGGCCCAGGGCTTAGAGAGAAGATAGGGTGGAGGCATAGAAGGAAAGGATGGCTAGGCCCTGCTTAGGCAAAAGGGAAAGGGGAGCCTGGTTCCTAAATAGGCCCCAGAAATCACGGATGAGAGGGAACAGAGAAACCCACAATCTTCATCTCAGAGCAGGAAGTGACAGCCTGCGGAGGGGTCACGGCCTCTTTTGAGAATCTGAGAAAAAACACGTCCCTTGCCTGTGGGGGAAACTGCAAGCCAGGATGTCAGGGATGAAGACTCACACCTAGCTTAGGATTTAGAAGACATCTGCCTGAGACTGGCTGTGTCCCCGGTATACCTGGAGACAGCAACGCAATCTGCAGCCCTGAACCAGGCAGGGTAGAAGAGGGACAGCCGGTAGGACAGGGCAGGACAGGAGGCAGAGACTTGTCCTTCCTCAGGAACTGACCTGACCCTCTTGTCCTCCTGTAGAGCTAGGACTTTGGCAGGTGCCACAGCCCAACCTAGGCAGCTTCACATAGGGCCTTGGCCAGGCTCCTGGACCCCCTCTCTTCCTCTCTGACCCAGGTCTAGACTATTCCAAGGACTCTCCTTTGGGAGTCAGCTGGGGGGTTCCATTTCTTGCCACCTCTCTTCTCCCTGGGCAGCAGGCTGCACCGTGCCCTCCTCCACACACAGACAGGAGACCCACACAGACATGTAGCCTCACACACCTGGGCTCAGGGGTTCAAAAGATTCCTCCCCTCCTTTCCTGATATGTAACCATGAACTCCAAGCTTCTGCTTTATACTTAAATGTGAGCTGTAAAGTCGGGCACTTGGTGGCTCACGCCTATAATCCTAGTTACTCAGGAGGTAGAGATCAAGAGGATCAAGGTTCAAAGCCAGCTCCAGGCAAAAATAGTTCATGAGACCCTATCTCGAAAAAAAACCATCACAAAAAAGGGCTGGTGGAGTGGCTCAAGTTGTAGGCCCTGAGTTCAAATCCCAGTAGTGGGGGAAAAAAAGTGAGCTGTAAGAGCTTTAAACGTGGCTTCTGAAGTCATTTATTGCAAGGCCAGACTGGGCTGCTTTTTTGCATGCTAATGAGTACCCCAAACACTACCAGAACCCCACAACCCAAGGGTTTCTCAGTCGAGAAAAACCTTTAACTGCAAGGGGCTTGGGATCAGGGAGATACTGGGACAGCAGAAGAGGCAGGGGTGAGTAGAGTTGGAAACTCTGGGGTTGAAAAAGGGCTGGCCAGGAGCCCAGAGAGCCAGAGCCAGAGCCAGGGTGGGTTGGTGGAGCTGGGGCCTGGACAGGGAAGAGTCTGAGGCTTCTAAGGACAGGTTGGGGGTGGGAGGAGGGGAAGGAGGGAAGGTCAGCCTGTGTGGGGACTCAGTGGTCTAGCAAGCTGGAGAGTTGTCCTGCAATGTAAGTCACCCTCCTGAGGCTGGGCAGGAGGATAAAGCTGGGTTGACCCCCCCACCCCAGGATGAGCTCACAGCCCCAACACACAAATGCACAGGAGTGCACATACACACGCACACACACACACACACACACACACACACACACACACACACACGCCCTGGGGGTGTGCGGCCAAACACATTAATGACATCCTTTTTGTCCACCCATTTATCACACACCTGGTTTCACCAGGATACAAGGTGGCAGGAAACAGTGTCCCAGTCCGATATTCAGGTGGCAGAACGACATACCGGCCCTTGACCAATTCGGGTTCCCACCCTTCCCCCACCTGAGATTCTGAGCTGGTGGTCTGGGCACCAGGTTGCTGTGAGCAGGTGGTCCTTGGGAAAACACTGGGTGGTCTGTCAGCTGTGCGTTGGGGGAAATCACGTGGTCATACTCATTGTATGCCTACTAACATACCAGGTGCTTTGCATGACCACCTCAATTCACCCTCCAAGGACCGTCCGTGAAGGGGACATTATTCCTTGTCCCAAGGTCATACGCCAGCCCCTAGCAAAGCCACAGTTTGATGTGGCCCTTACTCCCACCCCCAGGGGCCTGCAGACTTACAGGGCTAAGGACCATCCCAAGGACAGGACCAGAACAGACAGACAGGAAGGAGGAACCAGGGCCAGACGCAGTTGCAGAAGATGCAGACTTGGTCTGAAATGGGGAGCCCCTGCACGTCTCCGGAGGGGCTGCTGGGAGGGCGCCCAGCCTGAGGGTCGGCTCAGCCCACTCAGGAGCAGGTCCTGAGTCGCTGCACAGAACCCGGCCAGACTTGCGAATTCCCGGGTAGCGCGCGCCCCCTGCAGGTAGACATGGGTGCTGCAGGGCGGAGGCTGCAGCCTGGATGGTTTTCTCTCCTATCACCTGCTGTCCTCCGGAAAGAGGGCTCGGTCGTCACCGTAATTATTTCTGCTGCCCGCTTGGAAGAACGAAAGAAGCGTTAAATGCCTTGTCCAAGGTCACAGAGCCAGGCGGTGCTGGGTCCCGAGCTCGGGCATCAAGGGATCCTGGCTCTCCCCTCCCCGGAGGTCTTTGTCCCAGCTCCTCAGAACCTCTCGCCCCCTCGCACCCAGGATAGACATGCACAGCAGGGCAGTGGTAGGAAGCAGCAAACCGTATTTAATGGGCATGGAGGCGGGTGTCGGCACTCCCGCCAGGGGAGTGGGCGAGGGTCGGGCACAGAGAGGCCTCCACGTGGGCTCAGGAGCTGAGGTGCAAGTGCAGGTGTTCCTGGCATCGTCAGGTGCGGAGGGGCGAGCGGGAGGCCGAGCCTCGTCTCGGGACATCCCGCAGCAGAGGCAGTGCTGGGCTGGCATGAAGCTAACACAGAGGGGCCCTTGCTGGATCCCCCCAGACTCCCCCACAGCCCACAGCCAAGTCCCTGCCATCCTTTCCCCAGGCAGAGGAAAGGAGAGGGCTGGCATGACAGAGTCAGTGCGAGAGATCCACCCTCCCTGCTGCACCTTTAATGCTCCACCGATTTATGTTTCCTATATATGTTTCCAGTAAAAATCGCCTTTAAATAAAGGGACCCTCTTCCAAATATTAGAGCTACGGGACTAGTCTCAGTGTGCATTAATAGCTGAGGAAACTGAGCCCAGAAAGGGTAAGTAACTTGCCCAGGGCCAGCCAGCAAAGTTTGTGGTGCAGTCTTTTCTCTTTGTGTCTCCAGGGACTCCTGGGGGTATTCTGGAGGCCTGGGAACCTCCTTTCAATGCCCCTCCAGGTCGATAATCCCACTCCCCCAAGTTCTGAGTACTACAGCATTGGCCTGACACAGGGAGCTTCCCCCAGTATCTGTGTGGCCTATAGATGCCCCCTCTCTCCCAATGCATCCCCACACCGCATTTCTCACCTTTTGGAGAGCTGCAGCCTTGCCACTCCCTGGGGGAACCTTCCCTGGTGTATAGAGACCCAGAGGCTGGGGCTGGGGCTGGGGCTGGGGCTGGGGCTGGAGCCCAGGGAGGGCTGTGGGACAGTGTGCCGAGGGGCGCAGGGTCGACATGGGCACCCACTCAGGCCCCACCATTCTCTGCAGCCCGACAGCTTTAGACATGTACCTGGGGACAACAGACCAGGTGCCAAGGGTCACAGCTCTCCTTAGCTTGATCTCCCTGCCCTATCTCCCAACCTCCTCTTGCCCACAGTGTGGGGGACACTGCCCAGGGCTCAGCCCTGCAAGGAGCTGAGGTCAGATTCATCCACTTTGCAGCTCCCTCAACCCATGGGATAAAAACCCACGAAGGCGACAAAGCTCCAAGAAGTTCCCACAGTGCCCTGGAGAAACTCCCAAGGACAGAAGGCCCAGCTTCTTGCTACCCTAACAGCCCCCGGGGTCCACCATTTGGGCCTCTGGTTTATTAACTCACTTGGGTCCCAGTGGTGCACAAACTGTTAAATACCAGTTGCTGACACAGCCCTGGTCGAAGGGGTTGTATCCCTGAAGGTATCTGCACTGGAGGGGATGAAGTTGGGAAGAGGAGCTCAGAACCAGCAGGACTGGACAGGCATCCACTTGTGGCCCTCCCTGAGCTGGTCAGCTCAGCCAGGGCTCAGCCCAGGGCTTCAGGAAGACACCAAAGGCAGGGAAACAGGAGAATGAGTGGGCTGGGGTCTCCTGTCTTCCTGGACTCCCAGGCAGACCACCCCCCATTTCTGAGAGCTCTCTCTAGGCAATTGCTGATACTGTACCTACTTCTGCCTACCCCTCTCCCTGCTCCATCACCTAGAACCTCCCTTTGCAGCATCCTCACCTTGTCTCCACTGACCACACATCCGTCCTCCTGCTGCCTCCTTCACATCTTTCAATCTGCCTTTTGCTGCTCAACTGCCCCAAAGACAGTCCCGCCATCCTGACACTACTTATCCTCTTTCCCCTTCTTGTTTCTCTCTAAGTTCATGCCTTCACTGAATTTCACTGTCTAGAGGAACAGTGTGCAGTCCCTGATCAGATTTTTTTAACCAAAATCACCTGCTCCAGGAAAATCTGGGCTAAAGACTTGATTGCACACAATGCAGTAAAGGTCAAATTCAAAGGTCAAGTCCTCCCAAGCACATTTTTTTTTTTTTTTGGTACTGGGCTTTGCACTTATGGCCTATAACTTGAGCCACTCCACCAGCCCTTTTTTTGTGAAGGGTTTTTTCAAGATAGGGTCTCTTGAACTATTTGCCCCGGCTGGCTTTGAAACTTGACCCTCCTGATCTCTGTCTCCTGAGTAACTAGGATTACAGGAGTGGGTGACCACATTCTCCTTTTCCCTTCCTCCTCCACCCATTAACCTGTTCCCTCCTGCGTCCCTTCTTCCTCCCCGGGCAGGTGCCTTAGCTAGTGAGTGTTTTGTCACAATGGAAAGTAGCCTAGCAGCACCTCTGCCCACCCGCACTGGCCTGTGCCTGTGCTCCTAACTTCCAACATTTCACCAGAAGGAACCAGGACACCATGTCAGGACAGCTCTGGAGTATCCCACCATGTCCCCACGAATCCTTGTGCTGTATGTGCTTCTGCCTTCTTTCATGTGCTCACAGCATTTACAGAAGCTAGTATCCTATTAGTGATTCTGATTAAATATTTATAAGAGATTCATTACATTTACAGAATTTTTAAATTTAGAGAAAAAGTTGATTTATTAGGTATGTGTGAAGTGTAGAAAAATGTTGGTTTGCATGAAGTATAGAAAAAAATTTAAATGATAATTAAGAAAATTCATAAGAACTGAGCAGTAAATCTGAGTACTTCCTCTGCCCTCATAGAACCCTCTCAGCCCTGAAGGGGACCCAGCAGCCCTGAAGAGCCCACACCAGCCTCTCTCTGGCTCCAGGTCCAGGACCCCTACTCCTAGTCTGTGTCTCAAACATCCTCATACCCCACAGGACTAGAACCCAGTCACATCTTCATGTTCCATCTCCTGCCCAGCCCCAAACTGCCTCCCCTCTCCTCCTCCTCCCCAAGGGGGCAGGAATCAGGGCATCAGATCTCTCTCTCTGTCTCTCTCCTTCTCTCCCAAAGTGTTGATTCATTTCTTGGTTCACTTGTTTATTCCAATTTTTTTATGTTGGGTATTAAATGCAGGACTACTGAACTACACCCCCAGTTCTGGGTCTCAAAAGTGTTCTGGGTCCTGTGCTGGGTACGGAAGACACTGCCAAGACCACAGACAGCCTAGCTTCTACAGTGGTGAGGCAGCTTCAGTGTGGGACCTGAGCACTGTGGGAAGCACAGAGGGGACCACACAAGAGGAGGAGGCAGCCTAGCCATGGCACACAGGCACATGCAGAGCAGCAGCCAGGAAGCAGAGTCCAGTGCTAAGAAGATGGGGAAGCATCACGTCCAGTCTCAGAGACTGCTGCGCACTGTCCAGAAAGAGTCCTTTGAGGATTGTCCTCTGATTTGGGTCACTTGTTGAGAGCAGTAGCACCAGCAAGGATGAAATGGGTGCTGTGAGTAACTGTGTCTGGTGACTCCCAGTGGACAGGCCACATGTAGGTGCCTGGAGGCTGGAGGTCCTGGACAGGGGGGCAATGGCCTATGGCTTGGGGCTGGAAGAGTCACAAGATGTGGGAAGGGAAGATGGCATGGGCACAAACTGAAATGGTGGCTGTGAGCTGGAGAGAGAAGACATGTCATGCAGATGACAGGCTGATGGGTAAGGCAGAGCAGAGGAGTCATAGGTACATGGGGAATCAAATATGGATGTGATGACTAGAAGGATGGGAGGTAGAGAGCAGAGAGAGCTCCTCTGTCTTTCTATCTGTCTGAGTCTACAGCCCCCACTTCACATCAATACTGTCCCCCAGTCTTCCTAAAGCAATCCCATGGCAAGGATGTCCACTGCTCCCACTCCTACTCAACATTCCAAGACAGCGCAAAGGCTTCACTTCACCACACAGATTGAGAAGGAAGTAATAAAGCTGTCCTTATTCACAGATGACATGATTTTCTATGTAAAATCAACAAAAAGTTTCTACAACTAATATGTGAATCCAGAAAAATTGTAGGATTCAAAATATGCAAAACCCCATTGTATTTTCTTATAATAATGAACAAGTGGAAATTGAAAACTTAAGAGACACGTTTACAAGAATACCAAAAGACCATGAAATACTTAGACATAAATCTAACAAAATGAATCCATGATCTATACACTAAAAACTACAAATGCAAAAGACATCAAAGGCAAACAAATGAAGGGTATAGCATGTACATGGATTGCAAAATGCAAGTTTTTCAAAAATGTCAATTCTCCTCCAACTGATCTACAGGTTTAAAGCAATCTCAATAAAAATCCCAGCAGATTTGTGTTTAGAAGTCAACAAGCTGGGCTGGTAGAATGGTAGAGCGTCTGCCTAGCAAACACAAGGCCCTGAGTTCAAACCCCAGTGCCGCAAAAAAAAAAAAAAAAAAAAAATCAACGAGCTGATTTTAAAGTTTATATGGACTATCCAAAAGGACAAAGTTCAAGAACTCACATTACACCTGATTTTAAAACTATCAAGCAAACAAGTGTGGCGGCATATGCCTGTAAATCTAACACTGAGGAGGCTGAGGCAGAAGGGCCTGGGCTACAAAGCAAGACCCTGTCTTAAATAAATAAAATTTAAAAAACCAAACAGCTAGATGTATTTCTAGATTCTATATTTTCACCAATCCCGTACTATTATGATCAGTGTTGCTTTATAGTTTCCGTTGTTGTTTTGTTTTGCTTTTTTGTTTGTTTGAGGCAAGGTCTCTCCATGTAACCCAGGTGCGTCTCAAACTCACAAACTTCCTGTCTCAGACTCCTGGTGGTGGGATTAGAAGTGTGTGCCACCACACCTGGCTTTCAGTTGAGTTTTTCAAATTTTTTTCTTTCTCTTTTTGCAGTACTGGGGCTTGAACTCAGGGCCTTCACCAAGAGCCACTCCACCAACCCAACTTGTGTGTGTGTGTGTGTGTGAAGAATTTTTCAGATAGGGTCTAGGCCAGACAGGCTTTGAACCTCGATTCTCCTGATTTCTGCCTCCTCAGTAGCTAGGATTACAGGTGTGAGCCACCACGCACCCAGCAAATTTTTTCACTTTTTTTTCTTTTTGGTTCTACTGGGATTTGAACTGAGGGCCTCATGCTTGCTAAGCAGGTGCCCTATCACTTGAGCCACTACACCAGCACAAAAAAAAAAAAGACCCCTATCTCGAACCATATACAAAATTTAACCCAAAATTAATCAGAGACATAAAGGTAAAATCTAAAACTATAAAACTTCTGCTGGCAGAGTGGCTCAAGCAGTAGAGCACCTGCCTAGCAAGTGTGAGGTCTTGAGTTCAAAGCCCAGTACTGCCAAAAATATAAATAAATAAATAAAACATAGGTAGAAAAACACATCTTTGTGACCTTGGATTAAGCAAAGATTCCTTCATGACAACACCAGAAGCATGATCCGTAAAAGGGTAAAGTTGATAAATTGTACATCATCAGATTCAGAAACTTCCAAGAAAATATTTGCAAGCACATCTGAATCCACAATATATAAAGGGCTCTTAAATTCAATAGGAAAACAACTCAATTATTTTTAAATTGTCAAAAGTCTGGAACAGACACTTTACCAAAGATAAATAGATGGCAAATAAGCACCTGAAAAGATAGTCACATCATTAGTCATTAGGAAAATACAAATCTAAACCACAAAGAGACACCACCACACATTTATTAGATTGCTAAAATTTTTTAAAAGCTGACAATGTCAAATGCTTGTGAGACTGGGCACCAGTGGCTCATGCCTGTCATCCTAGCTACTCAGGAGACAGAGATCAGGAGGATTGAGACTCAAAGCCAGCCTAGGCAAATAGTTCACAAAACCCTATCTCCAAAATATCCATCCCAAAAACACGGGAGGGGGGCTGGTGGAGTGGCTCAAGGTGTAAGCCCTGAGTTCAAACCCCAGTTCTGAAAACAACAACAACAACAAAAATGTTGGTGAGGATGAAGAGCAACTGGAATTCTCATACACTGTTGGTGAGAATGAAAAAAGAAACACGCTATCTCGGAAGACAATTCAGCAATTTCTTACAAAATTAAACACGCAGTTACCATATGACCCAGTAATGCAGCCCTTAACAATTTACCCAGCAGAAAGGAAAATAAAATTATGTTGGTGTACTTGTACACCATTGTTGGGGATGGTGTGAGTGGATTATTGCAGTGCATTCACACAACCCAATACTATGTAACAATAAAAGAGAATAGACTAACCACATAATGAACCTCAAATACACTAAGTGAACCAAGCCAGACTCAAAAGGCAAGGAGAGTCCACTTATCCGAGCTTCTAGAAAGGAAAAACCCTAAGGATAGAAAACAGATCAGTGGTTGGTAGGGAACTATGGTAAAGAGAGAAACTGGCCATGGGGTAATGAAACTGTTCCAAAACTTGGTGGTGATGGTGTCAGGATGCTATCCATTTGTGAAAATTCCTAACGGGCACGCTAAAAAAGGATGAACTTTAAATTATTCCTCCGTACACCTGACTTTAAAAGAATCCTCCCGTGGCTCCCAGGTTTCCACAGTATGACAACTAAATCTCGCTCTTGATTTTTCTAGGTCTTTTCAATCTGATCAATCCCAAGGGGTCGACTTAATTGTCCAGGCCATCTTGTGCTCGAATTAGAACTGTTTCCTCGACATCCCATCATCGTCCCATTTTCAAGCTTCCCTGCCTTTTTGCAACACCCTCCCCTCCCTCTTCTACCCCTTCAAAAGCACCCGTCCTCCTCTACACGTGGGCACCTGGAAGTCCCAGTTGCTTCTCTGAGTTGAGCCCTTTCTGAGCGTTCCCGGATGTCAGGGTCCTTACCAGGGAACCTGAGTGCAGGATGCAGCCTGACTCACCGGTACGCCCATCCCTCAGACTACACACGCAGCCTCGCACACGGTAGGCGCTCGTGCAATGCACCGGGGCAGGAGCGTGTCCACCCGGTTCCAGGATTTGCTGCATCTTAGGAGATGGTCTGGCAGGGTCAGCGAGGCACCACCAGGGCCGGGGGCAGTGGAAAGAGCGGAAAGGGGCAAAGAGCCTCCCAAGGCCCGCATACCTTGCCCTCGTAGGAGCGCTCGGCAGCGCTCACCGACAAGGCCTGGATCAGCAGCAGCAGGAAGAGCGGCATCAGAAAGCCCGCCGAGGGCACAGCCACCAGGATGCTGCAGCCCGCTAAGGAACCGCCCGCCGGATCTGCGCGCCCCGGCCCCGGCCCAGCGCATCCACTGCCTGCACTCCGCCCACGTGAACCCTCAGCCCACGCTGTCGCCCCGCCTGTCACTTTCAAACCTTCCTACTCCACTCCATGACCCCGCCAGATTCTTAACTCTCGGTGGTCTCTCTTCCCATCCCCCCCATCCATCTCCTGACTCCTCCCACCTTAATCCTGCAAAGCGGCTTCCCCCTCCTGCTCCGCTCACCATTAGCTCCGCCCACTGTGCCCACCCATCCCCTAAAGGTCCTTTGGGCCTTTATGGATACGCCATGGCCTTGTCTATAGAGAAGGGCAGGTGGCTTGTGCGAACCAGGAACATCAGGCAGGTGACCAGCAGGGCGCCGGAGTAGAGGCAGAGGAACAGGACGAGTAGCATGAAGAAGCGAAAGTTGCGATGACCGATGCAGTTATTAACCCACTTGCAGTGGTGGTCAAAGTCCTGGGTGACAGGGAGAGGGAGCAGGCCTCGAGGACCTGGCCTCTGTGCCATCCTCAGTCAACCCCAAATCCTGGCCCTTCCCCAGCCCTGCCCTCCAGGCCACTACCCCTGGCCACAAGAATGGTTGGAAGTTGCTTCCTAGGCCTATAGCAGTCCTAGAAGGTGGTCTCACACCCACCCCTGCCCTGTATGTAAGGCTCCTGGTCCTGATCAGGACCGGGTGATGGGTTGACAAGAGGTCAGACAAGCGGGTCACTCACCTCCACACAGATGTTGCACCAGGGGCAGTGATAGGTACGGGGCGGGCGGTGGAAGCAACACTTGGGGCACCACTGCAGGCGGAAGGCTCTGTGGTTCACCCATACCACCTGCACCATCCTGGGGCCCTGCTCCATGGAACCTAGCACGGAAACAGGGTTGGGCGGCAGCAGGAAGCCCTTCCATCAATCACTCTGCTGCTCCAGGCAGCCCCACGGCATCACTGGGCACAAGAAGGCTGGGGAGGAGGTGAGCAGGGCACCCCTGTCCCTACCGAGCAAGCCCACCGCTCAGAGGCTGGTATTCAAAGGGAAGATGGGATTCCAGCCAGAAGAGCTGTACATAGAACTTGGGTTCTATAGAGAACTTAGCCTCTGGACCAGTGATCAAAGCTTTAAGTCCTGTGTATAATGGGAAGGACAAAGAGCAAACTGGCTTGGACAAGACCACTGGCTTCTCCCCCCCCAGCCTCCCAGGGGTTGGGTGCTGATGGCTCACACCTGTAATCCTAGCTACTCAGGAGGCAGAGATCAGGAGGATGGAGGCTTTAGGTCAGCCAGGACAAATACTTCGTGAGACCCTATCTTGAAAATACCCAACACAACAAAAGGGCTGAAGGAGTGACTCAAGTAGTAGAGCGCCTGCCTACCAAGGGTGAGTTCCTGAGTTCAAACCCCCGTACCAGAAAAAAAAAAAGCCCTTCAGGATTCTGTTTGTTCACATGTTGGTGGCTTGGGAAATGAACATATCCCAGGGCCAGAGCAATGATGACACGGGGTAAAGGGGTCCTGAGGCTCCCCTACAGGCACCAGCCCTTGGAGGGGCCACCTCCATTTCCCAGGGGGCTCAGGCTCACCTTGATGTAAGACACCAGGGTCTGAGAAGTTGAGCGAAATGAGACTGAAGAAGGTAAGGATGAAGAGGAGGCCTGTGATCACAGGAAAGGCCCACTCCCCTTTCTGAACCAACCACCTGCAACTGAGACCACAACCAGACTCACTCTTGATTTGGAGCAACCCAGAGCTCCTCCCTAGAACCCAGGCTCACCTGGATCAGGACTTAGACCTTAAGCATAGCTCTAAACACTGGGCGAGGTGCCACCAAATGTCACCAAGCATCACCAGCCACCTAGGGCTTCCCATATGCTCCAGGTACTTTAGACCTCTGTTCTTGTTCATTTGGTTCCCTCTAACTACAATGTCCTTTCCCTGACCTCTGATCCCCTCTGTGTCCCCCTCCACACTACCATTTTGTATTCTCCTTTCTGTCTCTTTGTAAGAAATTTAACAACTTGCATAGGAGACTCACGGGAATGCAAAGAAGAGGCCACTGAAAACGACCAGTAGGACTACATTGAAGGCAGCAAACATGCTCGGGAGGAACCAGGAAAGAGGTGGTGGCTGGGGCTCCTTCACAGGAGGCATGTGATCCTTTAAGAATGGCATTGCTGAACCTCCTGTGCCCCCAGGGGAGATCAGAGCCACCAGGTTCCCTCTCCCCTGCTGGATCCCAGATTCCCATAGCCACAACAGTCTTGGAAGCCACGACAACGGAGGGAAGAAGTTCCAGAATGACATCACAGAGGCTGAGGAACAGGGACACTTCCAATAGCAACTCCTCATGCCCTGTCCACACACATGCTGGAGCCTGAGAAGTGCTGTCCCTGGGAGGCTGGTTTGTTGGAGATCACTATGGAGTGGATGTGGTTTGTCCCTAAGGGTTTGTGTGCTGGAGGCTTGGTCCTCAGAGCTGAGGTGATGGAACCTTTGGGAGTTGGGGCCTAGCTAAGCCCTGGTAGCTCACACCTGTAATCCTGGCTACTTGGGAGGATTGAGATTCAAGGCCATCCCCAGACAAATGGTTTGTGAGATCCCATCTCCAAAATAACAAATGCAAATGGAGTGGGGGTGCGGCTCAAGCTAGTTCCTGTGAGAGCAGGTTATAAAAAGAGCAAGGTTGACCCCTTCCCAGTGTTCTGGCCCTGCACTCTCCCCTCCCACCTGTGACATTTACTATGTGATGCAGCCAAGGCAGCCCTCACCAAAAGCCAAGTGATGGAACTATCCAGTCTTAGACTTTAAGCCTATAAAACTGTGAGCTGAATAAACCTCTTTTCTTGATAAAGTACTTATCTTAGTTATTGTGTTATAGTAACAGAAAGCAGGTTAATACCAAGATCATTAGAAAGCACATGAGGGTCAGGCACCAATGGCTCACACCTGTAATCCTAGCTACTCAGGAGGCAGGGATCAGGAGGATCACAGTTCGAAGCCAACCCTGGCAAATAGTTCCCGAGACCCTATCTTGAAAATACCTAACACAAAGGGCTGATGGGGTGGCTCACGGTGTAGGCCCTGAGTTCAAACCCCAGTACCACACACACAGAAAATGAAAAGCACTGGAGAATGTTCCTATATCATCCTTACAAACCCAGTGCTAATTAAAGCAAACAGTGCTCATTGCTCATTCTATCTTCAGTTCTTCCTTTTTTGTTTTGACAGAGTTCCAGTTTAGGGGAGGGGCAACAATCTGCTTAACTAAATAATTTCCCAGCTTCTCTCATTTCCAGGGTTGGCTTCAGGGTACAATTCTGGTCAAAGACACATAAGTGGATGGTGTTGAGAGTTTTTGGAAAAGCTTTTATCTTTCCGATAACAGGGAAGGAGATGCAGCTGAGAGTTCTGTCCTCTTCTGTCTTGAACCTAGATGTGCTGGCTGAGGGTTCTGACAAGTCAGCATGCTACTAAGACACAACTTGTGACAGATTTTTTTATTTTTTTTAGTACTGAAGTTTGAACTCAGGGCCTCTACCTTGAGCCACTCCACTAGGTCTTTTTTGTGATGGGTTTTTTCAAAATAGGGTCTTGCAAACTATTTGCCCTGGCTGGCTTTGAACCTTGACCCTCCTGATCTCTGCCTCCTGAGTAGCTAGGATTACGAACGTGAGCCACTGGCTCCTGGCAACTTGTGACATTGGTAAGTCACTGCCCCAGCCCTGACCTGCCTCCCAGAGTCCTATTATGTGAGAAAACTGGGTTTTGGATTGAGGAGTGGCTCAAGTGGTAGGATGCCTGCCTAGCAAACATGAGGCCCAGAGTTGAAAACCCAGTACCGCCAAAAAAGAGCCAGGTGCCAGTGGCTCACGTCTGTAATCCTAGCTACTTAGGAGGCTGAGATCAGGAGGACCATGGCTGGAAGCCAGCCTGGGCAAATAGTTCATGAGATCCCCATCTCCAAAATAATCAGAACAAAATGGACTGGAGGTGTGGCTCAAGCAGTAGAATGCTTGCTTTGCAAGCAGGAAGCCCTGAGTTCAAACTCCAGTCCCACCCAAAAAACGTAAAAAACATAAAACAAACCCCCGTTTTCTATGACATGTAGCTGACATTTGTTTTTCCCATTGGCTACTGAGCACCTGACCCCTCTGTGTTTAGAGAACTCTTCCCCCATAAGTCTTGGTAAGGGCAAAGACCATTTTCCCATCCTGATTGGCACTGAAAATGACCAAATAAATACTAGCAGCCTCTCTTTCAGCCATTCCTAGGCCTGGTACTCAGAACTACTGTCACCAACAGACTTCTCTTGGAGGCGGCAGTTGCACATGCGCCCGAGCGTGGCGCTTGCTTTAGAGGTGATTTTAATTTCAATAGTGCTCAGATTGTTACTCGACATGGATATAATATGTCATCCAAAACCTCTAATTTGCCTTTCAAACATAGACTAACACTGAATTGGGATAATTGAACTGGCACATTCTGAGAAAATCGATTTGACTAAAAACACATCAGACTGCTCAGTGGTAGAGCACTTAGGTGGGGAGCATGCACACGGCCTTTGGTTCCATCCCAGCCCCAAAACAAGCGAAACAAACAAAAAGCAGATCAAAGTCTCTGGTCAGCTGGGCCCTGTGGAATGAATGTGTCTGCAGCCCAGCTTCAAGGGAGGCTGAGACAGGAGGATCATTTGAGCCCAGGAATTCAGGGCGGCCTGGGCCACACAGCAAGACCTGATCAACATACAATTATTTTTGCCTATATTCTCATTTATGGAAACATTGCTTTCTTTATGATTTTCAAATTAAGAGGTTAAAATCAATGTAGTAAGAAGTATAGTGATTTGTAAGGTTTGTTTTTTTTTTTTCAGTCCTGGGGTTTGAACTCAGTGCCTACACCTTGAACCTCTCCACCAGCCCTTTTTTGTGTTGGGCATTTTCAAGTAGGGTCTCAGGAACTATTTGCCCGGGCTGGCTTCGAACAGTGATCCTCCTGATCTCTGCCTCCTGAGTAGCTAGGATTACAGGAGTGAACCACCAGCACCTGGCTCAATTTTCTTTTTCTGTTAGATGCCCACGCTACCACTTGGGCTGCACCCTCAGCCTTTTTTTGCTTTAGTTATTATTCAAATAGGGTCTCTCATTTATGTCCGGGTAGATCTATCTGGACCTCAATTTTCCTGTTTATGCTTCCCACATACCTGGGTGACAGTCATGCACCACCACACCCAACTTTTTATTGGTTCAGATGGAGACTCTTGAACTTTTTGCCCAGGCTGACTTCAAACTCATGATCCTCCTGCCTCAGCCTCCTGAGTGCTGGGATTATAGCACTAACCACTATACCTGGTCAATGTTGCTGTTTTCTGATATTGGGCTCCAAATTCAGAATAATAAAATTGACCTTGTGTCTTTCTGCTTGGTCAGTAGAACTGAAGTCTTACTCCCTCTCTTCATAACCCATGACAAACCTCTCAATGAAGAGAAGACCATTAAAACATCTCTCTATATATATGTATATCATGTTCCATATTTTCTGAATGTGCTCACAGATAAGGATTGTCCTGTTTAGTGCCTGTGTTGTGAGGATAATCAGTAAATATAAAAGAGGATTTCTGTTCTAGCTCTGTGGCTCACAGCTGTCATATCAGCTACTCTGGAAGCATAAATAGGATCAAGGTCTGAGGCTAGCCCCAGAAGAAAAAAGTGAGAACCCATCCAGAAATATAAAGTAAAAAAGGTCTGGGGTGTGTGGCTCAAGTAATAGAGCACGTGACTAATAAGCATTAGGCCACAGTGCCACCAAAACAAAAAAATGAAAGCACTGATAGATGCTACAACAGGAATGAACCTTGAAAACAGTATGGTAATGAAAGAAGCCAGACATAAAAGGCTACATTTTGCATGGTCCTATTTTTTTTTGAGATATGGTCATATGTAGCCTAGAATGGTCTCAAACTTTTGATAATCCTACCCCTACCTCCTGAGTGCTGGGATTGCAGGTGTGTGAATGCCCAATGAAAAGTGACATTTATTCAAAGAAAAAACCCCAGTGTTCCTTGGCTCCCCCTTTTCTCCCTTCTCTTGAGGATTGAGCTGTGGGCTGGAGCTCGGTACCACGACAGCCTCTCTCAGATGAGGTCAGGAATACTGAGTGGTACCCCCTCGGTGGAGGTGTTACAGAAGGTCTGGATGTCTCAAAGTGTCCTCTTGTGTTATTGTCCCCATGTTAATAGGCACAGCCTGATAGCCAAAACGTCTTCTCCTGCTGATTCTGTAGCTACAGTTTTCTACCGTGGGAAGGGAACTGCTGCCCATCAATTCACCCAGCCATCAGGGCAGTGGTGTCAACACTGCTAGAGCCAGAATGGAACTCTCTCTGATCACACCTCCTTCCTTTTGGTCCACATGGCAGACATGAGGCCTTGGGCATGCAGCTTCTCAGAGAGCCAGTTGCCCTTCCCTCTTGCGCTGATGAAGATGGCTGCCCGAGATAGTCAGCTTTCAGACAAGTCACGCTGTGTCAGCTCCACGCTGCTCCTTCTATGCAGAACTGGTGGACACCTCCAGGCTCAAGTCTTCCTTCTTGACAAGAGTCCGGTGGGGTCCCTCATGAACTTCTCGTCACGTTGATCATATCAGAGGACATCACAGTTGACAGCAAAGCCACCTCATATCGATGCAGAGCTTTTGAAACTGGCCATACATCTGGTCCTTCAATCCACAGCTTACCATTCTCAAGTGGGTGCCAGGACCAAGGCCTGGGCGGCCTTTAGGTCCAGTTCAATCAGCCACAGAATGGCAAACGTGGCCATTTTCCCAGTCTTGATACAAGGAAGAATGACCTGTTACAGGAGGTATAGATGCCACCAAGAGGGGACAGGAGAGGTGCACTCCTTTAAAGCTGTCAAAAGTCTTTTTTTTTTTTTTCAGGAAGAGGGTTTTATCTTTGAACTTTGCACTGACAAAGCAGGAGCTCTACTGCTTAAGCCCCACCTCCAGTCAATTTTGCTGTTGTTTTTTTTTTATTTCCCAGTACTGGGGTTTAAACTCAGGGCCTACACCTTGAGCCACTCCACCAGCACCCCTCCCCCTTTTTTGTGATGGTTTTCTTCGAGATAGGGTCTCAATTTGTCCTAGCTGGCTTCGAAACACCACGCTCCTGATCTCTGCCTCCTGAGTAGCTAGGATTACAGGTCTCTGGATCAGGAATCCTGATTTGCAGACATGAAATTCTGCATGGTTCGGGTCATATGAAATGTCCAGAATAATCAAATCCATAGAAACAGAAAGTAGATCAGCGGCTGTCAGAGGAGGTGGGGGCGGGGCAGGATCTAGGGATGTGGGTTTCTTTTTAGGGTGATGGAGCATTCAGCAATTAGATTAATGATGGTAATTGTGCAACATTGTGAATACACTCAAAACTAATGTATTTACATTTCAGAATGACTACAATGGAGTTGGGGATATAGCTCTAAGCAGCATGCTTGCCTAGCATGCATAAGCTCCTGGGTTCAAACTCTAGCACTACAAAAAATAAAAAAGGACAAAAATGGTGAAGTTGATGTGAAGTGAATTTTATCTCAATAGGAAAAATTTCAAAAGAGAAACAATGGTCTTCAAATAATAAGTGATTGAGGAGCCCTGAGGACAACTGAAGAAACTTTTTAAAAATTTTTTTGATTTTCAAAAGTGACTTTACTTTAGAGACATGACTAAAAATGGCACACATTACATTATATTACTATAAAATTTTTTGAGAAAATTTAGTTAAAACAATGAAATGACAAAATGAAACCCATTATTTTGTACAGTTACTATACACTACAAAAACATTTTACAAAATGAAGAGTGACTCATTGTCAGAACTGACAAGAGAAGAATCTGGCTGACCCAGCTGTCTTCTCTTAGCAAGCCTTAGTGGAGGATGGGCAGATCTCCAGTGAGGGCCCCACCCTGGTCTAACCCGAGGGCCACTCTACGTAGAACATGGCCACTGAGGGACTTTGAGTGGGGCAAGAGCACCCATAAGAGCTAAAGCCTCCCTCTCACAAACACCCCACCATTTTTGCCTCCCTTGTTAGTACCCAGCCTAGGAGCCTCCGGTCTCCTGTGGGTCTCCCAACCTCTGCTGCCCAGCTGTCAGCAGCCCAGCGCCAGACCCTTCCAGACTCCTTCCTGCTCGTCAACAATCCTCTCCTATCTCTCGCTGCCTGCCTTCCCTCCTGAAGAAGTTTGGGACAATGCACCCTATTACCTGCTCCAGGGAAGTCTAAAGTTCAAGGCTTTGCACATTTAAACTAGAGATGAATGACCTAGGGAACACTGTGATGGAAATACTTGAGGAAGCTGAATCATTTTATGTCTTTGTCAGGGTGAAGCCGAGGCCAGTAACTCTCAGGTCAGAGCCCACTCCTTCCTTTTCCTGCCCTTACCTTCACTGTACTCCTGGATGACTACATTGTCCTGTCCCAAGAATTGGAATTTAGGAGGAGGATAAAACTGGAGGACTTTTGAGAGATTCACTGAAATATCTGGAGCTGGAGCTGGGAGTCCTGCTGGTACCATGTCAGTACTTGCTTCCTCTTCCAAGGATTTCTCTGCCTTCCCAGAGTCCCTTCTCTTGATCCTCTCATGGGCCATTCCTTACTCCCTAGAATCTTCCCCTGTACCTCCAGAGCCTCTGCCCTGTTCATACTTCGTGGCTCTCTAGCCTGGTTTCTTATCCTCTCTTCAACATCAGCTTATCTGTAAAATGTGAATTAAGATAGTACTTTATAAGAGTAGCTGTGTGCTTTACTTCAGGAGCACATCGAATCTCCTACAGCACCCAGCATGCCAAGTGCTCAATAGACATTAGCTGCTGGTGGCGCTCTGGTTTTATTCCTGTGGCAGTGTACAACCCACTTTTAAAGAGCACTTAGTATATGTCAGCCTAGGGGATATAAGACACTGTGTTTGGCCTCATATAGGGTTTAAATCTATTTGGCGAGAGAGGAGAAAAAACAATAAAATAGTTCATAAGCATACAACTTGACAGTTTTACAAAATCTATCAAAATACTCAGAAATCTCACTCTGCCGACTCTGACTCTTCAAGTAGTCGCCGCATGGCTTCCTCTTCAGGCCCAACTGTTTGGCTAAGTCCATCGTCAACATAAGATGGGCTGAGCTTTGAGAAACAAGCCCTCACAGGCCCCCTCTGGCTTTTCCAGTCAGTCCTACACACTCCAAACCAATAGTACCAGACACTGGTGAAGCCTCAGCCCTGACTCTGCTGTCTCCAGGAACCAGACCCTGAGTTTTGTCAGGTTCACCAGAAGTTACTGACTAGGGGATTTTTCAGGGAGGAGTGAGGTCTTTGTCCCGACCCTGGCCCTAGGAGGGGGAATTTTGTCTGTGGTCCATTGAGCCCTAGAAGGTTCCTTAAGGGAAGATGAAGGATGGGGGTGGGCTAGGGGTCAGGAGTGGCCAAAGACATTTGTCTAAGAGAAGTGGGAGGGACCACATCTAAGGATAGGGAGGAGTCAGGAGCCAGGGAAGTCAGCCAGCCTAGAGGATCAAATTCCTTCAGGGTGAACTCTGAGACAGGCAGTTGGCACAGGAGGCCCGAGGAGGGAAGTCTGGTCATTCTACCTGCCCTCAGCCCTGGTTCACTGGAAAAGGCCAGCAGTGCAACAGTGCTGGGCAGGAGCCACCCCTCTGTGTCTCCACCTGTCCACCCTACCTGCTTCTCTTCATCCTCAGCACCTGTCAGTACAGCCCAGAGAGAAAGAAGGCAATGGAGCTGGGCAGGACTCAGATAAAACTTGACCCCAGGTAAGTGAGGGTGGCAGGCCCTGGACTGGCAGCCAGTTGCTCTGGCCTGTCCCTCCCTCCTTCCTTTCCTGCACCCTTTAGTTTTCAGCACTCAGAGTGAGACGGAACTGAAAATGGTCTGGCTGTCCCCTAGGTCCACAGGGAAACTATGGAATTGAACTACTCTCTGACTACTTTGGGGTCTTGGCTTTGCCTCCCAACCTGGGCAGAGAAGGTCCCAAGGGTGGAGGCTATAGAAGGCATTTCAAAAAGTAATGTAGAGAGTCTCTGACCAACAGGGAACCTGCTGCTACTGCATTGGGCCCACTCTTTCCCTTGGACTCTGCTTTCTCCCCAGCCTGCCCCTGGGCTACTGCCCCATTGGGAGTGGGAACTGTGGGCTCTTTGGGTATTGCAGCCAGACCTACCCACAGTCCCTTGGCAGCTTGCCTTACACTCTAGTTTGGGCCAGTTCTCTACTCGCTTTAAAAAGCAGGACCCAGAGGGGAAATGGACAAGCCCCCTGCACCCTGGAGTGTTGAGAATTATCAATCTGCCACACCCTCTTCCCCAGCCCTCAGATTCTGAACACAGGCTGGTGTCTCCCCAGGTACACGGCAGATCTTCTAGAGGTGCTGAAAACCAATTATAGCATCTCTTCCGCCTGCTTCTCTTACCCTCCCACTGCAGCCCAGCTCCTGAGTGGTAAGTCAGGGACCCTCCCCAGAGGTGAAAGAAGAAGTGCATCCAAGAGGTCAGTCAGAACAGCTAGGGGAGCTGAGGAGAGGGGCTTCTGAGCTGGACAAACTGGACAGCCTGAGGGATTGGCTAGCCTGGTATCCATCACAGCTAAGGCCTTGGAGAAGGGCAACTCCTAGAGGTGTCAGTGGGCCAGGAGGGGGCAATGACAACCTAGCCCAGGAGACAGACCTGAGGCTGGAGTTCTACAGGTCCCAGCTTCAAGGCATGTTCAAACTGGAAACACTGGAACCTGGAACATTTTTCAGATTCTAGGGTTTCAAGATGGTGCCCAAATGATCCAAGCCCCATAGGGTCCCCTGGAGGGTACACAACAGCCTCCTAGGTACAGGGCCCACAGCATTCCATGGGGTCACTGTTGTAATGGGCTTGTCTTGTATAGGTTCTCACAGTGTTAGTCCACAGGACACTACTGCTGAACTGCTTTTGAAAATGAAACGCAGGCTAGAGACATGGCTCAAGTGGCAGGGAGACCTAGAGTCCACTCCCCAGTACCATAGGGATGGAAGGAGAGAAAGTGAAAAGCACAGGATGAAACTCAGTTCATTCCTTGGACACCATTGAACAAATGCGGCTTGCACGCACGTTTTTTGTTTCCCTACTCTATGACTGATGGCCTCTGAGATGCTGAAAAATAACTTGCGTCTCCGCAGACACTTGATGCATTCCCAGCCTTCTTACAGATGTTGTCTCAAAGTAGACTTCTCCGGAGCAACAGGCTGCTGTTGGGTGCCATGGGAGGCAGATGTGGGTGTGTCCTTGAGCTGTGTCCAGCTCCATTTCAGATATTCTAAGCCAGAGTGCTACCAAATACAAGAATGTCCAGAGATGCCTGGTGGCATCCTGAGGTTTGTGCCAGCAGGCAGCTACATCCAGTTCCAAGAAACTCCTGGTCAGAGTGTGCAGCTTGTGGTACAAGTTCTCCCTCACACCAGTAGTGCTCAGCCCAGAACATTTGGCAAAGTCTGGAGACATCCACTGGGATCTAGAGGGTAGAGGCCAGGAAGGCTGCTATGCCTCCCGCAGTGCATAGTACAGCTCCCTACAGCAGTTATCCAGGTCAAAGCATCAGTAGTTCTCAGCTTGAGAAACCCTGCCTGCTACAGTGAAACAGTTCTCACATTTCTTTGCTGTAAAACATGCAAAGGGAAACACCAAGGATGATCAGAGTAGGTTCACCGTTCTGGGTCTAGTAGTGCACCAGGCTGCCTCATTGTAGGCAGAGCAGGTGGGGCTTGAGGAGTGGAGAACAGGCAGTGGACACTCCTGGGACAGGGATGATGATAGAATGAGACTTCGGGTTCCTGACACTGGGGAGTTACACCACCTGGAAAGATTTAAGGTCACTGGTGGAGGAGCAGGAGGACATTTGAGGGGGCAGAATGAGAGTCAGGCCCAGGAACTGTACTTTATCCTCAACCAGAAGCCTCAGGCAAGGGCTATGAGATTGGGAGGGGCTGATGCAGTAGTGTTCCTGGACCATTAATCAGTAATCAGGTGGAATCTGGGGAAAAGAGCCTTGAGAGAAGCAGGGATATAAAAGAGATGTCATTGCCCCCACTCAGCATGAGAGAACAGAGGATGAGCCAGGGCAGGGTCAAGGAAAGGAAAGGAAAGATTAGGAAACATGGCAATCCAAAGAAGAAACAGGTGATCTGGTAAATATTTAATAGATGAGTGCCAATTCTGGCAATGGCAATGACACAGGAACAGAACCAGGAAGAGGACAGAGGATGTGTGAGGCTCCTCCCTTTCTTCATTTATGAACCTATAAGACATACTCTGGAAGAGCCATTAAATCTTTCGTAATCAGTTTTTCCGATGATTGCAATGATAATCCTTACAAATTTTGTTTTGTTCTTATTTTTTGCAGTAATTGGGGTTGAACTCAGCGCTTTAAACTTGATAGGCACTTTACCACTTGAGTCACTCTGCCAACCGTTTTTGTTTTATGAGATGAGGTCTCACTATAAGCCTGGGCTGGCCTGACGTGTGATCCTTCTATTTGTATTCCCCACCCCCCACCAGCCCTGTGTAGCTGGGATGACAGGCACGTGTCACCATGCCCAGTCGGTGGTTGAGGTGGGACTCGAATTTTTGGGGGTAGGGGGTACTGGGGTCTGAACTCAGGGCCTCATGCTTGCTAGCCAGCCACTTTTTTTCTGTTGAGTATTTTTGAGGTAGGGTCTTGATTTTTGGCTTCAGCTAGCCTCCTGATCTCTGCATCCCAAGTAGCTAGGATTATAGGCATGAGCCACCACACCTGGTCCCTTATAAGGTTGTTTAATGAACTGAATTAATGACCTGAATATTTATATGCAATAACCGAGAAAGGCCAAGACAATTTTGGAAAAGTGTAAGGAGGACACAGCCCTACCAGAGATTAAGGCTGAATTAAAGCAGTGAGGTACTGATGGCAAAGGGATGGAGAGGACAAAAACAGAACACAGTAGAGGGCCCAGAAATGGAGCCAAGCCTACATGGGGATTGCTCCTATTCCCGTGAGTGGGATAGAATGGACAACTGCCTGTTCCTAGAAAATAAATACACAGGAAAATAGCCCCAAATAGCTTTAATTCAGACAGATTAGGAACCCAAATGTAAAACACTAGAAAGCGATCTTTATGACTGGGAACAGAGAATAATTCCTTAAAACACAAGAAAGCACAAATGATCATGAAGATCAATTATATGAAGCAAACAAAATTCTGTGCAACTAAAAGCACGTAAGCAAAGCTAAAGGCCATATCACAGACTGGGAGGAGATACTTTGAAATCTGCAACCAGCCAATGATTCATAGTCAGTATGAGGAGAATTGGCCAATAAAAATGGGATAAACTATATAAAGACAATTTATAGAAGAGAAATCCCACAAAGATATATGCTTATCTTTGTAGTCATGGGGAACTACAAGTAAACAATGCAATATAATTTCACCAGTATTACACTGGTAAAAATAATAAGTCTGATAATACCAAGTTGTATCAGAAAAGACTGCCAAAGGTAGAAGGTGCCAAAAGACCAAAGAAAGAGACAGACAGATCTAGGATTGCAAAGTGCAACTTGTTAGGGACTTATGGCCAGAAATGTGTCTTGGGCAGCAGCAAGACAGGAGGATTCCTGAACCCTAAGGCAGGAGAAAAGAGTTTATGTACTAAGCCAGACAAACAAAGAAGGACCACATTTAACAGAATGTACCTGAGCTTTCTCAAAAGCCGTTGACCTATCAATCGTCAGTTAAGAAACAGTGGACGTCAGTGGCTGCCATGACACTGACGGCTGACCATCTTAACAACTTTGTCGCGTTTGGGATGGGTGCCGGAATCACTTGATGAGCAAAAGAGTGTTTATAACCAAGATGACTATGCAGTGCTAGTGAATTTGCAGTGCTGGTGTAACCACTTTGCAAAGTAATTAGATGGTGTCTATAAGACAGAAAATCCTCATCTCTTCCAACCCAGCAATTCTAATTCTAGATACATGTCTTAGAGAAACCCTTCTACATGTGCCCAGGAGCCTTGTCCGGCAATGCTGATTGCAGAATTTGTCATAATGAAAAATAATAAAAATCATGAAAATAAGGTTGGGCAGAAAAAACATTTAGCAAGCTGATGCCACTACATAATCTTTTTTTCTTTTAATTTTATCTTTTTTTTTTTTTTTTTGAGACAGGGTCTTACTATTGTAGCACAGGCTGGCCTTGAACTTTCTATTCTCCCGTCTCAGCATCCGAAGCAGTGGTATTACGGGTGTGCTCTACCACATCTGGTGATGTAAATTTTTTTTTAATGACAAGCAATACTATATATTGGGTATATGCATATGTTGTGAAAAAGTTGAAACATGAATGGGAAAGGTACAGTTGGTCCTCTGTGTTAGCAGCGTCTATGATTCATCCAACCAAGATCAGAATTACTCAGAAAGGGCTGGGGATTTAGTGCAGTGGCACAGCATGTGCCTAGCACGGGTGAGGTCATGCATTTGATTCCTAGCATTAATAAAAAAAAGAAACAATATTTTGGGCTGGCTTTGAACTCATGATGCAGCCCAGGTTGCCTTGAACTTGGATTTTCCTGACTCAGCCTCCTGGGTATCTGAGATTACACCCAGCAATCAGGGTGTATTTTTAAAAAGCTACATTTTGTTAAGCAAATACTGTATGCCAGGTGCTTTGCTAAGAGATTTAATAAGCAGATAATTAACCTGTCCAAGGTCATAAAGCAAGCAGAAAGTGGCATTTTACTTTGAACTAAGTGTCTCTGACTCAAAGCCTATAATCTTAGCCTCCAGGAAGTAAATATGCAAAAATGAAATAATTTTTGAGTAGGAAATTTGGGGAGATTACTTTTTTCAAAAATTTATGTTATATTCTCATATTGTTTTCATCACTTAAAAAAGTATTCTTGACTATTCCAGAGACAGTGGGAAATCTGACAGTTGCTAAAGGTATATCCTATTTTTTTGGCAGGATTGGGGTTTAAACTCTAGACCTCATGCTTGCTAGGCAGATGCTCTACCACTTGAGCCACTCCACCAGCCCTTTTTTTGTGCTGGGTATTTCCTAGATAGGGTCTTTTGAACTATTTGCCCGGGCTGGCTTCGAACCATAATCCTCCTGATTTCTGCCTCCTGAATAGCTAGGATTACAGGTATGAGCCACTGGCACCAGGCTTAAGGTCCTTTCTTAATAAAGGAATGAAATCAGTTTTTAATGTTAAACAACACACAGGGACTACTGGAACAGTATCTGGTCTTCAGCTCACTGGAGTCTACCTTCCCCTCTGCTTTAGTATTGGGACCCATGGAAATTGCCCTCACTGTCGTCATGACCTTTCTCACTCTGGGCTCCATTGCCATCTTCCTGGAGGACGCCATTTATCTGCACAAGAACACCCTTTGCCCCATCAAGAGGAAGACTATGATCTGGACTAGTTCTTCACCCACGGTGAGGGTCCTGTTGTCATCCTTTGGGAGGGACTGGAAAGGAGGCAGTGACCACTTTGAGGATAACTCTAAACAATTCATGCCAGAACAGAGTCACCTCTCCTGACAGTACCACCTGGGGGAGGGTAATGTGATCGTCACTTGTTTGGAAGGCTAACAGCAGTGGAATGGAGTGTTCAAGTTGCAAGGCTGCAGGGACAGCTGGAGAGTCTGCTCAACCCCCCCCAGCAATCCCACTCACTACTCCCCTGCCATGGTACTGCTGTTAAAAGCAGGGCTCCTTCCTATACAGGCAGCCAGTAGCTCCCCAGAGTACTAGGGGAAATAATTTTTTCCCCCAAGGGTCATACTCAGGTCTAACCTTCTGCTGTAGGCTTTTTAACTCACCCTATAACCATCTTATATTTTCTTGGTTTGCTTGATATATATGAGAAAGAGAAAGAGAGAGAGGGAGATATGGAGAGAGACAGAAAGAGAGATACAGACAGAGAAAGAGAAACAGAGAGACAAAGAGAGAGCAAGATAGAGACAGAGAGACAGAGACAGAGACAAAGAGAGACAAAGGAGAGAGAGAGAGAGAGAGAGAGAGAGAGAGAGAGAGAGAGAGCACACATGATGTACCCTATCACCAAACCATACCTCCACCTCCGTCAGCTGCAACTTTCAAGGACGGGTGCCTCGAATCTCTAGGTCCTGCTTCTTTGAATCCTTGCCACCAACAGAATTATCTACCTTCCTGCCCTAAACTTCTTGCTCTTCTACATGCAGGTGGTGTCTACGTTCTGCTGCTTTGGTCTCTGGATCCCTCGTTCCTTCTTGGTTGTGGAAATGGCCATAACCTCGTGAGTGTCCAGCCCCACGCCCACCTGTGGGTAGGCATCCTCTGCAGTCCCTTTACCAACCTGTGCTAATCTGAGGCTCTTGAATTTCTGGTTCTGTTCAGGGACTGCCTGATTTTGGCACATTGCTCAGTCACCTCTTTGTTCCCCTCTTCCTGGTCCTCTGGACTTTGTCCTCTCTCTTGCTCCTCCTTGGGTCACACACCTGGAATGCCAGCCCATTCCATTCTTTCCCTCAGTAAGCCCCATCTCTCACTACAGTCTTTTTTCTTTTTCTTTTTTTTGCAAAGCAGGTGCTCTACCACTTTAGCCACACCTCCAGTCCATTTTGCTTTTTTCCTTTTGTTGGTACTGAGGTTTGAACACAGGGCCTCAGGCTTGCTAGACAGGCACTCTTACTGCTTGAGCCACTCTGCCAGCCTCTCCCTACAGTCTTTACCTCTTTGGCAGCAGAGGGTTCCTGACCCCCCAATGACCACATCCACATTTTTGCAATCCCAATTCTCTCCCCACCCCAGATTTTATGCAGCATGCTTTTACCTGACAATGCGGCTCATGATAGAAGGCTTTGGTGGGAAAGAGGCAGTATTGAAGACACTGAAGGACACCCCCATGGTAATCCATACAAGCCCCTGCTGCTGCTGCTGCCCCTGCTGCCCTCGCCTCATACTTACCAGGTAAGATGGGAGGGTGAGGTATCCTGACAGACTAATGAGCACCCCCCAACCCCCGTTGCCTTTTTTGTGGGATTAGAGTTTGAAGTCAGAGCTTTGTGTTCACAAAACAGGCACTCTACCACTTGAGTCAGACCTCCAGTCCATTTTGCTCTGGTTATTTTGGAAATAGGGTCTCACAAACTATGTCAAAGCTGGCCTTGAACCATGATCCTCCTAATCTCAGCTTCCCAAATAGGTAGGATTACAGGTGTGAGTCACTAGCACCTGGCTCAGGTGAGCCACTCCTGACTCACTAGCCCTGCTTCAAGCTCTTGGAATTAGACTTTTATGGGACAAAGCCAATGATAAACAGTGGGCATCCATAACCAGGACCCACACATGGGTACCTATTCCCAAGGGGAAGGAGAATTCCTAAGCTTCCAATCACTGCCCTGCAAACTCGAGCCATACAAAGAAAACTACATTTACTTGATTTTGGTTCATGAACTTGAAGGCAACACTGATAGTTCATGCTCAAAGGGCAGCATTCTGGTATAGAGGTGAGTGGGAAGCAAGAGTTCCCAATACACTCAACATTCTGGGATTTTCCTGTGTCCCCATTCACGAAACCATTTTTGTGTCTGTTATGGCTGCCTAACCTCAGCCCAGGAACTCAATGAAAGAGCTGAGAGGCCTTTTCGGGTGGGTGGTTTATGGGTCCAGGTTCCTAACCCTCTTACCCGCCCTCAGAAAGAAGCTTCAGCTGTTGATGTTGGGCCCACTCCAATATGCCTTCTTCAGGATTTCACTGAGCCTTGTGGGCCTGTTTCTTATCCCTGATGGCGTCTATGATCCAACAGAAGTAAGCAGGAGGAAGGGGTGTCAAAGTCCAAGATGCATGTAGTATCTTTGGGCTCTAGAAATAATAACTGGAGCCAGCAGCCCCTGCCACGGGGCCCCAAGGGCAGGGTGGCTGTGGAAAAGTAGAGGTGTAGGGACTCTAGTTGGGAGAGATGTGACCAGAATAGGTCAAGGCTTTGGGGCATTTTTATTCCTCTTCCCAACATGGAAAAGGAGAAAAAAAAAAAAAAAAAAAGGAGGGAAGGGCTTGCCTCCCTCAATGACTATTTTCTGGTTTGCCTCTAGATTTCTGAGAAGAGCACAGCTCTTTGGATCACCACTCTCCTTGGTGTATCTACCCTGTTGGCTCTCTGGTCCCTGTCCATCCTTTTCCGTCAAGCCAGGTTACACCTGGGTGACCAGAACATGGGATCCAAATATGCTGTGTTCCAGGTAACTATACTCTCAGAGAGGAAAAAAAAAATTAATAATGAAGCTTTCAACGATTGGGAGTAGGAGGTAAGACTACAAGGCCTGAAAACAGTACTGTGAATCTCTTCTAACTTTGGATTTCCTGTGAAATTTGGAAAATGATTTTCACCCTTCCCATTTTTTTTTATTTTTCTGTGCTGCAATATTTTCCCATGGCTGCCATAACAAAATACCATAGAACAGATGGCTTAAAACAACAGAAATGTATTATCATGGTTCTGGAGCCTGAAAGTCTAAAATCAAGGTATCAGTGGGGTCATGCTCCCTCTGAAACCTGCCAGGGAGAATCCATCTTGCCTCTTCCTCTTTTCTGGTGGTGGTCAGCAACCCTCGGCATTCCTTGGCCACAGCTGCATCATCCCAATTTCTGCCTATGTCATCACATGACCATCTCCCTTCAGGTGTCTGTGTCTTCTATATTTATGACAGTCCTATTGGGTTAAGGCGTACCTTATTCCTTATGGCCTACCTTAACTTATCTGCAATGATTCTGTTTCTAAATAAAGTGATATTCTGAGGCACTGGTGGTCAGGACTTCAACACATCTTTTGGGATACATGTCAGCCTATAACATGTACATTGTCAAATCTCCTTAAATTTTTCTACCTATTATTCTTAAAGTCCTATCACCCACCAACACCACCATCAGTAGCATTATCATAGCTACATTAACTGCCTTCATTATGTGCTGGGCACATTTTCATATATTCCATATAAATTTTCATAATAACACTAGGACTTATTATTCCTGTTCTACAAAGGAAGGAAACTGAGACCTAGGGATGTGATGAGGCTTGCTCAGAGACAAATAAGGAATGAAGCTAGACTTTAAACTCACGTCTGAGGCTGGAGTCATGGCTCAAGTGGAGCGCCTGCCTTGCAAAGCATGAAACCCTAAATTCAAACTCCAGTACTGCCTAAACACCAAAACAAAGCAAATAAACAACAACAACAACAAAAAACCCAGGTCTGTCTAGCTCCCAAAGCTATATTCCTTCTCATTACACTGCCTCTTCATCTTTACAACTCTTCTGAAAATTCTCTCAAAGGCACATTTGCTCATCTTCTGTGCTTTGCATTCTCTAAGCCAAAGATGAATTTTCCACGAAACTCAATGTCTCATAGCCCAGCCTTGCTTTCCCATCTTTCCTTGTCCTTTCTGTCTCCTTGCTGGGCCCTTCTCTTGAGGTATAATGATATATAGTTAACAGGGTGACTTCATATACATTCTCATTTGATCTAAGCAGATGCTTAGATCAAATATGTGAATTTCTAGGCATGTTCCAGACACTCCTCCATCTTAGTCTCTTTTTTGGCTATAGTGGGGTTTGAACTCAGGGCCTTATGCTTGCTAGGCACTGTACCACTTGAGCTACACCTCCAGCTCTTTTTGTCTTTCAGGTATTTTTCAAATAAGAGTCTTGCGCTTATGCCCAGGCCAGCCTGGACATGATTCTATTTACTCTTTCTGCATAGCTGGAATGACAGGAGCACACCACTGTGTCTACTTCGTATTGATTGAAGTGGATGGGGTCTCATGAACTCTTTGCATGGGCTAGCCTCAAACTGTGATCCTCCCAATCTCTACTTAGTGCTTACTGAGTAATTAGGATTACAAGTATGAACCACTGTGCCTAATTTCTTTTTTTTTTTTCTTTTGGTGGCTCTGGGGTTTGAACTCAGGGCTTCTTGAACCACTCTACCAGCCCCTTTTGTGATGGGGTTTTTCATGATAGGGTCTTCAATACTATTTGCCCTCCATGGCTGCCTTGAAATGATCTCCTGATCTCTGCCTCCCAAGGAGCTAGGATTACAGGCATGAGCCACTAGCCTGGGCTTCTTCATCATTAGTATCTTTGGTTTTATCATCTTTGTCATCTTCATTTTTTTTTTTTTTGGTGGTACTGGGGTTTAAACTCAGGACCCTGTGTTTGCCTAGCTAGCATTCAGGTGGAAACTTGAGCCATGCCCCAAGCCCTTCATCTTTTTTTTTAATATTGTGGTGAAACACACATAATATAAACTTTTCCAGCCAGGTGCCAGTGGTTCATGCCTGCAATCTTAGCTACTTACGAAGCAGATATCAGGAGGATTGTGGTTTGAAGCCAGCCAGGGCAAACAGTTTGAGAGACCCTATCTCAAAAAAAAGCTTTTCACAAAAAAGGGCTGGTGGAGTAGCTCAAGGTGTAGACCCTGAGTTCAAACCCAGTGACTATACATGTATATTTTTTATATATATTTAAACATATATACATACATATAAACTTTCCCATATTACTAATTTTTAAGGGTTCAGTTCTGTGGCAAGTACATTCATACTGTTATACAACTATCACTACTATCCATGTTTAGAACTTTTCATCTTCCCCAGCTGAAAAACTCTGAAAAACACAAAACGTTAGTTACTCATTGCTTCCTACCCCTATCCTGAGCCCCTAGCATGGCAGAGAGTTTTCAAAGGGCACCTTAATGGTTAATTGCCCATTATTCTAGAAGCAGGAATCTCAGGTATCTGAGCTACATGGAATTACTCTTCTCTAATCATCCACCTTTCCAATCCATTCTGTGTCCATTAGTAGTCATGGGTAAGATGGGGAAATGCATTGTTGTTTCTTTCTTTTTTTTTTTTTTGCATTGTTGTTTCTTATGAGCAACTCTAATAAAATATTGGGTAGAAGCCAAGATTGTAATATGCCTAAAGATTAAAACTGCACAAATTTCCAGTTCGAGTTCCATCCCTCTGTAATTTAATCATAGGTTGAACCTGCGTTGTGGAAAAACATGGCCTCAGCACCATGGGTGATAGGTCCCAACCCACCCTTACCTTTCTTTTCTGTTCTGCAGATACTTGTCATTGTGACTGCCCTGCAGCCTGCCATTTTCTCCATTTTGGCTAATGGTGGGCAGATTGCTTGTTCACCTCCCTTTTCCTCTAAAGTCAGGTCTCAAGGTGAGCACATAAGGACTCCTATCCCATTGTGAGATGGATGAGATGGGAGAGGGTCAGGAAAAGAGAGGACCTTGGAACAGAGGTTAGCCAGCCTGACATCTGCTCAGAAGATTCAGAAAAGGATCTCCAAGAAACCTGAGCAGAGGCTTTAAAAAGACTATTACCACTTTGATCACACAGAGAAGTGCGAACTCCACACCCCCTAACTTGCCAGTCCTAATGGCCAATCCAGGAAGCCATGGGTTCAGTCTTTAACTCCTGGGAGAGGACTGGGTGTGGTTAGGAAGTAGGTGGTCATGCTGATTAAACACACATGAGAAATGGGCTTTAATGCTAGCTTCAGTTCACAGAAGCTATATAACCAAGTTCTGGTTCTGGCTTTACCACTAATCTGTCATTTATGACAATTTAGTATCTTTAGGTCCTGGTCTGGGGACAAAGTAGAATAAGTGTTGCTCAATTCACATGCTAGGGCTGCTAGTGGGATACCACCTCCGTATCTTTGCATAACTTATATTGTACTCTATACTGCAGTGATGAATTGCCATCTCCTCATACTGGAGACTTTCCTGCTGACTGTGATGGCACGAATGTCCTACAGAAGGAAAGACTACAAGCCTGGGTATGAAAATTCCTTAGCTCCAGATCTGGACTTGAACCTCAAGGCCTAAGGTGAATGAATGGAAGCAACACCATACCTCTTAGGAGAGCGCGAAATGTTTTCACTACCCCTCAACAGCCAAATTGGAAAGAGTTCTTAACGTCAGCACAAGCTGGCAGATTGCATCTGTCTGTGGAGATGAAGGCAAACTAAGAAATAGGAGGAATCTCAAGATTCTCTGGAAATCTTGTCCCAGAAAGGTGTTTTACATTTTGTAATAAATAAACAGGATGAAGTCTGAAACTCTGTAGCTGGGCACACTGCTTCTGTGAGTATCACTATTAACCCCAAAAGCTTGTATGTTGAAAGGTCAGTGAGCTTTCCCAAAACAGAAGAAAGAGGGTAAGAGTGTATGGTAGTGTGTCTGGAATAAAAACAGAAGTAGACCTTGGCTAGTCAAAATAGCAGCAGCCCAACATTTCAAAGAAGCTAAACTTCTAGAGAGCAGATGGAAGGTGCTCTTTCTTTACAGATGTATCACCAGGGCACAAATGACAACAGATCTGGGGATCTGGGGCTTCCCTTTGTGAGACAATAGCTTTATGAGTCTTCCGTGCCAAGCTGCAAAGAAATCACCTGATAATATGGTTATAAAGCTTGATTGTGAGGAGAAAAATTAAGATGAAAAAAATCAACGCCCAAATACACAAAGCTTCGTACATACACATACCAATCAAAAACACAGGAAGTGGAACACTAGGTAAAACCATATTGCCTTTATTTGGCTAAATGATAAAAGCCAAAATAACTCTGAACAAATTAATAGCAGACAGGAAAATGATACACTGAACCCTGACTGAGGAAAACTTCCCTGTGGACTCACACTGGTGATGATGGGTGAACATTTATGCCAAGACTGGCAGTTCTTTCCATCACTTTTTTTCTTTTCAGTATCCTCAATACAAAATACCCAGACAATTAATTCTTGTGTTCAAAAACAGTCAGTGCCTCCCAAAGGGTAGAGGGCCCACATTAAACCTAAAGGAAGACAACCTGAGTCATCCCAGTGTTAAACCTGGAACTTCTGTTTTCTATCCCAATCTGAGTACTGACATCAAACTTTGGCAGACAAAAATCTTTCCTCTTTCTTTTTAAGAAAATTAATTTGAATAGAATAATCCCAAGAACATGTTCTACTTATTTGTTTGGAAAAATAGAAGCTAGGGACTGCTCTTTATCCCATAACAATCTATTCTAAGAGAGAAAACAACAAGCATTGTTAGGAGTTTGAAAAATATTACCTTTGAAAATACTTATGTTGGTAGTTTTTTTTTTAAATATCATTATTAGTTTTTTAAAACATTGTTAAGGGAGCTTTTTTTTTTTTCACCTGTATTGGTTCAACTTCTGGTGCATGTATATTGACGGGAAATCTAGAAGCTATGCCTTTAGGGAATTAAAGAAAAGCAGAAAAATATAATTGATTTGGAATGATTTTATATGAAGGATGTGGAACAGGATTAAAAAGGCAATGGCTTCAGAAAGTAAGCTACCCACAAGTGAAGAGAAGTTAGACAGAGTAACAAAGTACTGGGAAGAACTTTGTGGAAGAACCTCTTAGACACTGCCAGACCAAGTCATGTGGCCACAAGAAAGTAAGAGTAACTCAGGTGCTGCCTAAATTACCAGCAATTAAAAAGGGTCAGAAGTTTCTCAGTCTCCCTCCCATTTTTTCTCTTTCAGGACTTTCAACCTCTTCACATCCCCTAACCTTCTCTCTCCAGCCTCTGCAAAATAGGTTCTTTGGCTTTAGCTATCAGAAGCAGCTGCAGCAGTATAAGTGATCCATTTCTATTCCTCTGAAGCACAATCTCTACTTTTTAGTGCTTGTGAGCCTAGTGTATGAAAAGAGCATACTTCCTGCCTAGCCACCTCAAGATGATGGCTGAAATGTCTCCTCCTTCCTTCTATCATACACAGGCTCTGAGACCAAATGGCTTTGAATCAAAGGCTTTCCCATCTCTGCCACATTTGGCCCATCCAAGCTGCCTGCTTTTTTGTGTGGGATTCAGGGAAAACAGCTCTGCAGCTGAAGTTCCACAGCCTTAAGCATTCATGTTTGGAGAGTTGCAGATCACAGGCATGGTCACGGTATACAAACCTCTAACCTCATTTAACTAGGCACAAGAATCAACAATGCATTGTTCCAATAGCACCATTGTCTGGCACCTAGGATCACGCTGACCCCAAAGTATCTCACATGCCACCCCATAAAAGTTTTAGTTCACATTATTGAAAATAGACTAGTGTGAGACAAACAATAAAGGGTGCAGGCTACGTCACAGACCTTGTGAACCAAGAGGCCCTATTCCATGTGCAAGGCATGCCAGTAGCAGCCCACTGAGAGCAGGTGAGGTCTCAAACATTTGGGGCTCAGACAATATACTTGAGACGAGTGACTTCAGGGAGGAAAACCACATTGTGGGCATCTCCCTCTTCATTCCAGTACATTGAGTAGTGTGCACTTAGAGAACAGACAAGTGGGTTACAGCAGCAATGACACTGCCTTTTTATACCAGGGAGAATAAGGCAGAGAGAAATAGGCAGAATTCCCAAAGACAGAAGACCAAAGCAGAAGTTAAAATATGGGCCATATAAAGCCACACAGTGGGAAAACATTAACTTCATTTGCTTCAAAGAAAGGATTTCAGGCCACAGCTGTGTGAATCAGATTTGAGAGTAAAAATAGCATTCATGAGAAAAGTGAGAAATATAGTTCCCATGAGCCATCAGGACAACAAGAAGTTGCTTCCCTTTTTGTTTCTCTCCTTTGCCGTGCTCTATCTGTCTGGGTGATCTGAGTTTACCATCCTGCTGTGCAGGCAGGCAGTGATGCTAGCCTCAGACCTTCAGGTACACCAAGAGCTTTTACCTGAAAGTGTTTAGGGAAGGGATGAGATGCTCACAGTCCTAGTAGAGGGACAAGAAAAGAGAAAATGTGGTTTTCTTTGCTGAAAACATTAAAACTCCACCCCTACAAGGGGTATTTATGAGTGACACAGGTAGGTCCTTATAACAATTTTGACCCTAATCCAGCTACAGGATTACTGATGACTAATGATCTGCTAGGCATGTAGCTGAAGGCAGGATGCTAGGGGATTAAAAAATAGATCATGCCCACAGCAAGTGTAAAGCGTAAGCATTCCTTGATTTGAAATTCAAGTGCTGAATTCAGGAAACTGAACAGGGAAGGGGGGACCATAATCACCAGGCACAGGTGGGAAACAGGGAAAGAACCTACCACATGCTCTTAAAGAGATCCCATGCTTGTGGCTTCTTGGAGGAACAGTGGAGGGAAGTCCTGCTAGTTACAGCTCTCACAGGAAAAAATGCACTCCATGGAGTACCGATTCTAGTTAAAAGCATTCTTAAGAGGGGTATTGGAGTCAAGATAAGGCTGTTACTTTAGAAAGGAAGGTGTTATGTTTTGCCTTTCCTATGTGCAAATTTTCCTAAGAATTCAGTATGGCTATGAGCAACATAGATTAACAGATCAAGTTCACACTGCAGACATTTACAAAGTATTGTTTGTATAAAGCTGGGTAATAGCATTGAAATAGGAGAAGCAGGGCCAGGGACTTACTTCCATATCAGGAATTATATCTAAACTGACTTTGTACAGGATCTAGTTTTGTCCCATTCCCCTTCCCCAATCACAGTATCACTCGCTTTGAAGGTCAGTTGCAGGAAAGATTGACAAGAGCTCCCAAATAATTGGGCAAGAGAATTTTCTGAGATGAACACAGTAGAAAAACTGCAGTTGATATCATGTGGTTTGGTTCTATTCCCATCAGTGTCTTCATGGACCCCAATGGGTCCAACAAGAAACTCCTCAGGGAGTAAGAAAAGTTAGGCTCAGATCTCCTTCCCAAGGCCATGCTGACACATGTGCCAGAAGTACATGTGTGCTTAGGGGACTGGTAACTAATTCAGTTTTAGCTTTAGAAAAAAAAGGAAACAAAAATTAAGATATTCCCCCCAAATTACCCAACAGCATGGCTCATTGCTTGAAGGATTTGGCAAGCCACTTGCTTAAGAACAGAAGGCAAACGCTACAGTGTATCAGAAAGAAAAGCCTCTAGGTAGGACACCGCTTCCTCCTTCTGCCCATTCCTCAGGGGCAAAAAATTAGTTCTACTTACTATATTTGAAAGACTAAGTTTTAAAAAATTAATAAAAATGACAATTTCCCTGTCAAGATCACATGAACACAAACAGAAAAGCAAATCCTTGGGGAGGGCAGATGGATGCAGAACAGGCTTCTGAAGTGTAGTCAGACTCCTTGGTGCAGGGGTTGATGTCTTTTAGAGGATGGTCTGTGTTTTGATTCCCCCATTCCCAGGTCCTCTTGCCCCAATTGTCTTTCCTTTGTAGCTGTCCTTAGGTTTAGTGTTGGGATCAGAATGTGGAATTCAACAGAGAGTTCTGAAGGTGATGGGACAAAGGGAAGGGAAAGGAAAGGAGGGATGAAAAGTTAGTCTTCTTCATCCTCACTGATATCATAGGCTGCAGGCTTGCGCCTAGAGAGATTTGCTGGGGAGGAAGGTGGGGAAGTCTTGCCAGAGAAGGGCCATCGGAAAGATGGGGAGGGGGAGCGTTCACGAGTAGGGCTGCTGCTGGGACTCTGCTTTGGACTGATGGCCTGCAACATCCGGCCTTTCCCCTCTTTCAGCATATGTTTCTGGGGAGACCAAAAGGAAGAGTTAGATGATACCTATGGATCATACTAAGTCACCACTGGAGCACCTGAGACTTCACATTATCAGGGTCTCACGCATGCTAGGCAAGCACTCTACCACTGAGCTACACCCTCAGTCCCTGCCAATGTTATGACCCAGAGGAGGGACATAGCTGTAATCCTAAACAATTTCTTCTTTTAAGTGGTCTATACTGGGTATTGTTTATTGAAGGGCTCCCATCTGCTATCCACAGTCACCAAATCCTTGACTTCTATGTCAAGGGAATTCTTTGAAGGCTAATTGGTCTGTAATCCCCAGGTTCCAGGCAAAAACAAAGGAACTAATTTAGACGAAAGGGTATCTAGTTCAGTTTTCAAGTATTCTGAAAAGGAAATCCCACATTCTTCCCAAATCTATTCTAGTATCTGAATACTCCCACAGTCAGATCCTTCCTGATGTTCAACCTAGGGCCTACTGGCTGAATCTTTTATTTGAAAAAGGCCCTGCTAATCCTCAGACAAGAATTCCCACCTCACCAGTGGGATCCAGTAGCAGCTCTTTGCAGTGAAGGCGACTTTCTTTTTACTGTTCTCTACTCTTTCCTAATGTAAAAGTGATCTGGACAAGATTACCCATTTATCTTGTCACCAGATTTCTAGGTTGACAGTCGGCAAAATTATTTAGGAAAATGTGTGACTTCTTTCTGTAAAGATTTTAAAGAACTTTGGGGGCCAGTTGAAACATAGTTCTGCCCAGATAAAGGGAAACAGATTAGATAACTTCATAATGTCAATGTCCCTTTCTGCTCAAGGATTCTATACTTCTTTCTACAGCATTGAAATTTCCCTGAAATTCCTTAAATTGTCTGGTGGGAAAGAACCATACCAGTGCTCCTTCTGGACCAAACATTTCCAGGAAACTTCCAATGAATTCTCGGGACTTTTCTTCCCATTTTTGAATGAGGTCAATGCTTTTTTCCTCCACTTTCTGAACAAATTCTTTTGACTTTTCCTCCACATCTTTCACTTTCTTCTTTACTTTGTCAACTCGCTCCTGCAAGTGGTATTTCTTCTCCTAGGTAAAGAACAAACTGTTTTGAGAAATAATGCCCATCCTGACCAAAACAGGAAAAAAAAATGGCTGATATTCTTCAGACTTTAGAATTAGAATTTTGGTGTGCTTTAATTTACCCTATATTAGTTTAGCACAGTGACAGAAAAGGCATGATGATCTGGCTGGCCATCAAAAACAAAAGTATAGTAATTCTACTATTGTGCAAGCTCTGGGGTAAACTAAATATATAGGCTAGCCCAGTAACAGCCGAAATGCAGCCAAATGAAGTCAGATTTTTAAAAATAAAGTCAAGTCTTGGAATATAAACATGTCCAATACAACTTAAACCTCTTTCTAGATGGATATGCACAGGCAGCAACAAGATCATTGCACACTATTGCCAAGAATAAGCCAATTATAATCAATTGAAAGTAGTAGTAGTACATCTCTGTTTAATTTATTTATTGTCCTGAATTTTTTTGTCCCTGTCATTGATTATTCCATGATTTTAAATGAGCTGTGTGTTTTGTTTTTTGGACGTCCATTTGCTCATTTGCAAAATAAAGATGACACACTTTGGTCCTTCCAACTTTCCTAAAGAGAACAGAGTGGGGGGCACATTTAGTCAAATGAGAAGTTATTCTCATAATTCCCAGATCATAAAGAAAGGAAGGGAGGGTCTGGAGTTCAGATCAGTGGTTGTGCATGTGCTTAGTTGTATGAGGCCCCAGGTTCAATCCCTAGCACCAAAACACAGAAGAAGGAGGAGGGGAGGCATAAAGGAAAAGGAAGAAGATGATAAAGAGAAAGAGGAAGAGGAATATGTTTAGAGTTTTGTTGTTCTGCAATGCTGGGGATGGAAATAGGGCCTTGCATATGCTAGGCAAGTGCTCTATCACAGAGTTATACTACCAGTCTTCCATTTCACCATTTTTTTTTTTTTCTGACAGGGTCTTGCTATGTAGACCAGGTTGGCCTTGAACTTGAGATCCTTCTGCCTTAGCCTCCTTAGTGCTGAGATTGCAGGCATGTACCACTATATCCAGCTCACCTGTTCTTACAGAGTAATTCAGAGAGCTAGGAGGACTGATTATGGTCAACTGATTATGCAGAGGATATAATTAGTAGTTTAAACCAGCTTTACTAAGGCATAACTTATATGCCTCAGTAAAAATACATAACATTTTTAGCCAGGTGCCAGTGGTTCACACCTATAATCCTAGTTACTCAGAAGGCAGAGATCAGGAGGATCTCAGTTTGAAGCCAACCCGGGCAAAACAGTTTATGAGACCCTATCTCAAAGAAACCCATCACAAAAAAGGGCTGGTGGAGTGGCTCAAGGTGTAGACTACTTGAGTTCAAACCCCAGTACCACAACAACAATAAAATTATATATATATTTCTAAAGGGCAATATTAAAGAAAGGTACACATATCCTTTTCTTGTGTTTTTTTGTTTGATAGTTTGCTTTTTGAGAAAGGGTCTTACTATGTAGCCCCAGGCTGGCCTCAAACTAGTGATTCTCCTATCTCTGCTTCCTAGGTGCTGGGGTTCAGGTGTTTGCCACCATGCCTGATTTAAACTTAAGCTTTTACAAGTCAGATTTTAAAAATTGGGTCCATGTGGGGAAATTGCATGCAAAATGTATGTTACTGTTCTTTCAGAGAGAGGACTCATGGCTTTCATCAGATTTTCAAAATATCCAGTCAAAACAGAAAAAAAGTTAAGAGCTACCTGTTTTAACGTATTGATATAATGTATTATGTAAGTTACACATTCTTTTTATTTAATTGACTGCATGTCTTATATCAATCTGCTGATATTAGACCATTAAGCTAGAAATGGCCTCTGTTTTACTCTTCTTGTAAAGTACTCAGCATGGTGTTACCTGAAAAGAGGCATTCCCTAGCTTTTGAGAACACTAATCACAACAAATTGAAAGCAAGTTCAGTTCAGATGGAGTGGGAGGCACCCATGTCCTACAGAGCCAGGGAAAGTTGAAATAGGTTGGAACTCACATTGATAAAGCTAACATTGAGCTCCTTTGCTGTGTAGCCCCTCTGTAGGTTCCGTCTTGCATACACATCATAGTCTCGGACAATTCGGGTGATGATGTCTGATGTGGAGATACCTTCTGTCCTCTGTGTTGGAGCAAACATGCCTAACTCAAGAACACATACAGACAAATACTGTGAAGTTCAGATATGCTCAGGCAGGAGAACTACATGGATACTGGGAACAACACTCCTTCCTTTCCTTTCCTCAAAAAGCAGACTCCATTATTACTAAGTGAAGTCTAGAGATACTGACATACAGAATAAGGACTGAATCAAGGACCAGGGGCAAGAAAAGGGGCCCTAATATTAACCAAAATATTGGACATGGGAACAGTTTCCTGAAAGTAAGAGAGATAACAAAATTAGACATTTAGACCAAGAATTGATGTGTATTTGAGCTTTGCTTACCTATATTGCCATGTAAAGTATAACCAGAAAGAGAATGATGAATTTCTCAGTGTACAAATTTTCCTCTGTTAAGTAGCAATATGGCTGGATCTCTGTAGCTGCCCAAGACCCCATAAAGTGAGGATGAACATCAACTTACTCACCTGCTTCCTTGATGTGTTTGTAAACATCATCACTCCCAGCAGAAGAGTAAGGGATATCATCATGGGCTACAAAATCAATCTGAAAATAGGGAAATATCACTTACACCCAGGATAACTACCATTCAGAAAGACCCCATAAATATTCTTAGGCCCAGAGAAAAGATATAAGCAGAGGCCAGATCTCAGATGGGCTTTTTCTCTATATCCATTTGCTTTACTCATAAAATCCATGATCATTCACAAACTATCCATTTTTATTTATGAATAATAAATATGAAGGTTGCTGGTTTCTTTTATAGCTATTATCCCTGGTCTATTAGAAGTGCTATCCTCCCATTGTGCACCACTCACAATGCTGTGGACAGGAGATTTTCTGGTGAGCTAGTTAGTAAGTAGAGCCTAAGAAAGGAGAAAATTTCACTATCTGCCTGGGTCTATAAGGATTGGGTTTCTAAAAGTATGAAATAGAGGTATTCTTTGCTAGTTGGTTCTTCTCTTCGTTCATGAGAAAAGGAGGAATACATAAATATCAACCAAGAGCCATTTCACTGGAATAGACACATCTGTCCTACTGACAAATGCAAAACTGAAACCTCTGAAAGAACTTTTAGGTCTCAGTATCTATCTTTTTTTACTGCCAATACCCTTTGCCTGAGTGGAGATTAACAGCACTGAGGTCAATAATCTTTCTGAGAGACACAGTAAACCTCACTTATCTACTCCTTCCAAATAGGTCATAGGCCTTTGCTGATGTAATTATTAATGCTACTATACTCAACTCCTAGAAGCCACTGTAGTGTGAAGCATGCTCAACAGGACTCTCAGCTAACATCTTAATCACCCCCAAACAACTTGTCAGGGATCCACTGGCAGCAAAGTGAAGAATGGTGGCAATCTTGAATGGTGGGCAAAGTGAATCAATGGTGGTTGAGATACCAGCTAGAAAGGAGAGAAGGGAAGTTGCAAGTTGCCCTAACCTCCTATTTCTGCTTGGGCTTGCCTGTTTGTGTTGCTGGGAATAATCTCGTTCATCACTTTTGGTGCCACTGGCTGCTAAGTAAAGTCTAGACTTCTTTTCTGTAGGAGAACTACAGAACTATAAAAGGTACAAACCTGATCACAAATACCCAAATATCCCCTAACATCAGGCCTACCCACATATTGTTTTAGAAGCACTTTTGCTATCTTTGTTTTGTTTTTTCCTGCCTCACTCAACAATTCTCCTACAACTTTCTTTCTTTTTTTAATTTTTGGTGGTACTGGGGTTTTGAACTCGGCTTCACACTTGATAGGCAGGCATTCTATCACTTGAGCCACTCCACCAGCCCTTTTTTTTGGGGGTATTTTTCAACTCCCAAACTATTTGCCCGGGCTGGCTTTGAACCGTGATCCTCCTGGTTTCTAATTCCTGAGTAGTTAGGATTATAGACATGAGCCACTAACAGCTGGCTCTCCACACACCCTGGGATAAAGAATTGACAATGTGCTTCCTGGTTCCTCAAGCTTGAGGGCCTCCAAGCTGGCTGGATAAAGCCTTCTCCTTTTCTGTATCCACCTTTTTAGGAAACTTGAGGTACTGTGGGAGAATTCAAAGGTGGCAGGGGGGTTATAATATTAACTAATTCTTTGAGTGTAGGTGAGAAACATCCTTGCTTTGATCACATATAATTTCTAGCCAAAAATCAAAGCCCTGCAATTAAACTTAATTCAACACAAGAAGTCTGTGTTACTCTCTCGTTTCCTGGAAGGTGAATGTCTTGAGAGCATAGGAAAGGCTAAAGATACTCTAATGAGACTGTCATGCTGTGAGGGTGGACATACTTATTGTATGGGGAAAACATCTCATAACTGAGAAAACATCTCACAGCCCTGCTAGTGGTCTCTCTGGGTGGTCTTCTTTTTTTTTTTTTGTTTGAGGTACTGGGGCCTGAACTCAGAGCCTTCACCTTGAGCTACTCCATCAGCCCTATTTTTATGAAGGGTTTTTCAAGATAAGGTCTCACGGAACTATTTGCCTGGGCTGGCTTGGAACCACAATCCTCTTGATCTCTGCCTCCTGAGTAGCTAGGATTACAGCCGTGAGCCACTGGTGCCTGGCTTGTTCTTCTTATGTAAAGTGGAAATAATAACTACCCCTCTCAAGATTGTAGTAGGGAACCAATAGTATATAATGGTTATAAAAGTGCTTGTAAAATACAAAACTTTATATAAATGTCAGGAATGACTATTATTAGTAGCAATATCACTGTTGTAACCTCTATGTGATGTAAAACTTACATAGAAGGTACAGAACTAATAGAAAACTAGCCCAAGGGCTAGAAACCTTGAGAGCTGAGGGGATTCTACAACATGTGCTTTTTTTTTTTTTTCTGGTGGTACAAGAGTTTGAACTCAGGACCTTGTATTTGCTAGGTAGGTACTCTAGCACTTGAGCCACTCCGCCAGCCCATGTGTCCAGTTTCTTACCCGGTGTTCTGCCAGGAATTCGGGTGTCAGGGTCCAGGGGGCATTCCTCACCACCTCATCCACATAGCGGCAGTGCTGCACTGCATCATATCGCTCATTTTCATTCATCACCGTGAAGCCTTTGAAGTTGTGCGTTAGCTCATCACTGCAGACTGAGTTCACCGTGTCACAAAGTAGTAAGTCAAGTCCCCTTTTGTTTAGCCTTCCTCCATCACCAACCCCTCCTGTCTTCTCCTACTTACTAGGCCTACAACCATCCCCCCCACCCAGAGGAAAATCTGGATGTAGTTCAGTCTGGGTAACAATGCTCTTACTAATCCAAGATCCACTTTTGGAAGCAACATTCACTAAATAGTACATTCACATTTTGGAGAAGAGAGGGTACAAGAGGAAACTACAATCTTTGACTAAAATGAACCTACTGTTCATTTCCACATCAATCACATTTTTAAAAAATGTTTTCCTATTTTATTTTTATAGGACTGGACTGGACCATATAACCTTTACTTGGCAGACTTTTGTACTTTGGTGAATTCAAAAATGATAAACTGAAACCCAGAGCAAATGCTACTCTTAAGTAGACAGTCAGGATCAGTATGACTTCCATAGCTGCAGAAACTCAGCTAAAACCAGTGAGATGAATACTGGGCATCTCAGATCAATGAGTTTGCAACTCCTCTCTCTAGGCTGAGGTTGAAGCACCTCACACAACAGCCAATGTGTTCAGGTTATACAGACAGAAGAGAGAAAGAGACTATTATCTTTTTCTAGACAGCACCAACATTGTCCCACATTTTCTTACCTCCCACAATGAGGTATGTATTAGGGAAAAGGTTCTTTGCTTGCATCAGAGCCCGGGCATGACCAGAGTGAAATAAGTCAAATATTCCATCTGCATAAACTCTCACAGGCCGTTCACCTGAGTTCAAATAAAAGAATTTGTCACAAAAATACATTTATTTGATACCTCATATTTGACAAACGAAAATGACACTGTGTGACTGCTCTATCCTGCACACACCTCCTTCCCCCACTTTTTTTGCAGTACTAGGGTTTGAACTCAGGGCTTTGTGCTTGTTAGGCAGGTGCTTTATAGCTTGAGCCATTCCTCTAGCTCCTCATTCCTCTCAAAGTGTTCTCTGGGTATTCACACTAATTTGGGAGATGAGCTGGAGTTGTGAGAAATAACACCACAGACTTTGTGGACTAAAAAGACCCTCTTGATATCATCTCCACTAATTCTCTGTTAGCCTGCTTGTACCAAACTCTTAGTACAAAAAGTATATACATATGATTACTTTTTCTTGAAGTTATTTTAGAAGTGAAAGGGGGAGAGTTATTCTTTGGTTATATGTCCTGAACTTCAGTGAAGTTCAGTGAAGCTTCAGTTATGTTTAAACAGATTATAACTTAACTATTCTGTCTGCTTGCTCTCTACCTTGATTACTAATAACTAATGTTTTAATTTGAAAATCAACCTCCTTGTGCTGGTGGAGTAGCTCAAGTGGTAGAGGGCCTGCCTTCCAAGTGTGAAGCCCTGAGTTCAAACCTCAGTACCACCAAAAAAGAAAGAAAGAAAATAAACCTCCTTACTACTGCCTAAAGAGTAGGAGTGATCCAGGGGGCTGCAAATAAAAAAGAAGGAGGGTGAGTACAGAAGTAGACCAGTTATCTAGTTATTAAAATCTCCCTACTAAGCATGATGATGCATTTCTCTCATTAGAAGCTGGTTATATTAAGTACTTGAAATTCAAATATAAACATTTTAGGAGTTTTCATTATAGCTTTTCTTCTCTAGATTAAGGGAATAAAAAAGAACTGTCACCCAAATTTTAGTGGTAGTAGCCTATGAAAGAGAAGCCAGGAAATCATCTTCTTAGATAAAAGACTAATTCCAAAGCCAAGAAATACAAGTTTGAATAAATAAATATACCAAACACGATGAAAAACAGAAATAATATAATAGATTTTTCTTTTCTTTTGGTGCTCGAAATTAAACCCAGGGCCTTACATGTGCTAAGCGCCCACTCACAGAGCTACACCCTGAAGTCCTATAATAGATTTATGAGTCAGAAAGGTTATAGACCAAGCCCACCAAACGCTTTCTTTCTCTGTGACCTTAACCTCCTTTAAGCCTCAGTTTTCTCATCTATAAGACAAAGCAAAATAAAATAAAATTTGAGTAGTATAATCCCTGTTCTATATCCTAGAAATCCCGAGGTAACTAATATACTTCCATTTTTCCCAAAAAAGTCCCAAGGGGCTACAATCTCATATTATTTGATCTTAAAAGAAAAAGAATAGAATATAGAAAATTAAGGATATCTTGCTGCTCTTTTGCTATATTAGACCATGTACAGCCAAGGCAAAGTAAGATGGGGAAGTTTAGCTCAGAAAAGACGTTGCCTGGATAATGGCAAAAGCATGAAATGTGATTGCACAGTTAATTAAGTCAAGTGTATCACTGAACCCTTTCTCAAACCCACTCTAGACATGCCTCTTACTCTGTAATATTTCCCTAGCCTCCCTTGACATCTCAGTTCCCTCAGACTTCACCTAAAGTCTTTGGCAAACTAGGCTGGTATACTAACCAAAGGCCAGAAGGGGCCACTGTTGAACTAGTCTGAAAGCAAGAGTTAGCCATTCTTTTACCACGTGGTGATGAACCACACCCGGTCTCAATGTATTATTAAGAGCAACCTCTTGTCACTCTCAAAACGGTGACTGGATTATAAATTAGATGGCTGCACTACTGCAGGCTAAGTAAGCAGATGTCTTCCTCTAGATAGGACAAACCTGGGTTTCAATTTGTTGGCAATAATGGCACCGATAGGTTTCAGCTCTTACTGCACCCTTAAGCTTCTGTTTTCCTGGGTCACAGTCCTGCCTCAAGTCTAGCTTGAATCCTCCTTCTGCCCCAACCTCCAATCAGCATGAACCATAAGATCTTAACCAATCAGATCATGCTGAGTCCCACTGAGGAGTATTTAAGCCCCTGCCCCTCTCTCCCTCTCTCTCTTGGCTCTCTCTGCTCTCTCCCTCTCCCACCTGGAAATAAAGAATCTCTTGGCCAGATCACTCCTCTCCACGTGGTCATTTTGGGGCCTATATTTCCTTACACAATTTATTTATTTATTTTTTTCATTTTTCTTTTATTATTCATATGTGCATACAAGGCTTGGTTTATTTCTCCCCACTGCCCCCACCCCCTCCCTTACCACCCACTCCGCCCCCTCCCGCTCCCCCCCTCAATACCCAGCAGAAACTATTTTGCCCTTATCTCTAATTTTGTTGTAGAGAGAGTATAAGCAATAATAGGAAGGAACAAGGGGTTTTGCTGGTTGAGATAAGGATAGCTATACAGGGCATTGACTCACATTGATTTCCTGTGCGTGGGGTGTTACCTTCTAGGTTAATTCTTTTTGATCTAACCTTTTCTCTAGTTCCTGGTCCCCTTTTCCTATTGGCCTCAGTTGCTTTAAGGTATCTGCTTTAGTTTCTCTGCATTAAGGGCAACAAATGCTAGCTAGTTTTTTAGGTGTCTTACCTATCCTCACCCCTCCCTTGTGTGCTCTCGCTTTTATCATGTGCTCATAGTCCAATCCCCTTGTTGTGTTTGCCCTTGATCTAATGTCCACATATGAGGGAGAACATACGATTTTTGGTCTTTTGGCCAGGCTAACCTCACTCAGAATGATGTTCTCCAATTCCATCCATTTACCAGCGAATGATAACATTTCGTTCTTCTTCATGGCTGCATAAAATTCCATTGTGTATAGATACCACATTTTCTTAATCCATTCGTCAGTGGTGGGGCATCTTGGCTGTTTCCATAACTTGGCTATTGTGAATAGTGCCGCAATAAACATGGATGTGCAGGTGCCTCTGGAGTAACAGTCTTTTGGGTATATCCCCAAGAGTGGTATTGCTGGATCAAATGGTAGATCGATGTCCAGCTTTTTAAGTAGCCTCCAAATTTTTTTCCAGAGTGGTTGTACTAGTCTACATTCCCACCAACAGTGTAAGAGGGTTCCTTTTTCCCCGCATCCTCGCCAACACCTGTTGTTGGTGGTGTTGCTGATGATGGCTATTTATTGTCTCCAAATACCTATCACTGAAACAATGTCCCTACAGATTCCCTTTTTCTTTCTTTCTCTGAGTGAAACATTGCTGATTTTTTTATCCTCCAAAAGATTCACAAGACTGATCTTACCTCTTAAGTCATACTTGGTCTTATTCTGAGTAAAGACTTTGGTCCTAGGTTAAACAAACTCCCCTTTTGAACTCCCTTTAATTTTCCTAGTGAAAACCTGGGTGTAGATGCTCACTTGTACCAGCTATTGGATTAATTAGCATGTGTAGATTCCTTATTGGTTTAATCCTTACCCTTCACTGGCATGATTAGTCAGCCATTTGGTTATTTAACATGAAACAAAACAGATACAAAGAGATGTAAAAGAAAAAAGAGGTCAAATTAGATTGGCAAACATTATAGGCTAATTTGCAACCATTTATCTCACCTAAAATGCACTAATTTTGCCAAGGACCTTCTGTTTATCACTAATGTTTACAAAGAGTAGCACTACTCTAGGGCGAAAAGAAGGCGAGAATGGAAAGAGCTAGGTTTTGGCTCCAATTCTATCAGGAATTATCTCTTACTATAGGGGAGCCTTTATTAGTTCCTATGGATTCCCTAATGTCTTCATGTATATAATAAGGCAGATAATCTCAAACATGATTTCTTATAAATTATATTCTAAGAGTTTAAACTATTAGACTTATTAGTCAGTATTTATTAATTATTAAGCTTCAGAACTTGGAGACACACATATTTTCTTTGTCTATTTTGACTTGTGAGTACACATACTCTATCTTTGAGTTACACTTATTTTCATCTTTTATGTACCACAAATGTTATGTGGATAAATTAGTAACAAACTGGGTAATTTAACCACTGCAATCAGATCTGTACATGTGTCCCTAGTGAGTGCATGAAGTTCTTGCCTCCAACAGCTCTATTAGCACATCTGAATTTGAACCCTGAACTGTCTGTTGGCATTGTGAAATTTGACCTGCCACCTTAACATCCTATTACATATAATCCCTGGTTTTCCTTATTTTAATTTTACCCTGAGCCCATTAGCCTGACTGTTTCTCAAGTAAAGGGAACCAAATTCAAAAATTACATCATGAAATCAGAAGGACTTTGATCAAAATGAGCTATGTCTAAACACTTTTGCAAAAAGGAAATGTTCTCTAGAACAAGGTTCTTTCCTCGAACTCATGGCCTCATGCTTGCTAGGCATGTGTGCTATCCCTTGAGCCACTTCGACAGCCCAGGGCTCTTTCTTTTGAGGACCTTCGAATCATAATCCATATAGCCAAGACAAGGCAAGGGTATTGGGATACCTGGCCAGACAACGCTCAGCATCATCTCTTTGTATTTAGTACACCTCAGTTACAACAGAGTACTGATATACTTAAGAAACACAGTTAGGAAGTAAACATGAAAACTGGAAACTTGGAGACAAGGCTCAGAGCTCTGCCTCCGCCAAGCACTGCCACCTGGCTCTGCCAACCCGAGATGTGCCAACCCTTGGACCAGCTCTCATGCTCCATGGCTGGATCCTCTAGCGTTTCCACTATGAAAAAGGTGGTTCAGCAGCTCCAGCTGGAGGCCAGGCTCAACCTAGTGAAGGTTTCCCAGGCAATTCTGTCTGCAGAATGCTCAACATGACCTCCTGCTGACTGGAGTGTCCTGAAGTACAAATCCCTTCAGACCCCAGAAAGTCTGCTCCTTTTTGTAGTCAAATCTTTTAGAGGTTTCCCAAGCCACTTTTCCTGAACTAGTGAATATTTAAGAAAGTTAAATTTGAAAACTGTATAAAAGCTTCCCTATAGCACGTGTGTCATAATATACAAATTTCTACCTCCCTGAATTTTCATGAATTTCTATTTCGCAAAGGTAAGCTGCTGGCGGCAGCATATAATAAAATACTTAGTATATAAAAAAAGAAGTAATCATAAATGCATAGCACATATATTGGACATACATAAGATTTTGGCTATAACAGCCTCTTACTCTTTTGCTTGTCTGGATCTAAGTCTAGCCCTGTATCTCTGGAACAGACAGAACACTTATCATAGTAATCAAATTGAAAGGTATTGAGAGAGAGGAGAGAGGAGAGAGGGGAGAAGAGAGAGGAGAAAGGGAGAGAGGAGAAAGGAGAGAGGAGAGAGGAGAGACGAGAGAGGAGAGACGAGAGAAGAGAGAGGAGAGACGAGAGAGGAGAGACAAGAGAAGAGGAGAGGGGAGGAGAGGAGAGGAGAGGAGATGAGACAAGAGGAGAGGAGACGAGAGGAGAGGAGAGGGAGAATGAATTACAGAAAAGTAAAAACATTTTTCTGTAGGACTTGGTATTCACAACAAATGCTCATGGAAGTGTCTATTTATGGTGATCCCTAAAACCAATCACCCCGAACAGAAAGAGTATCCAGAAAACATTAATAATTTATGTGGGCAAAAACTGCAGTTAATTATCTAAATTAAGGATACAATTAATAAAGAGTTTGAAAAAATAACAAAGCAAGTCTTTTTGTATAAATCTACAATATTGTATTACCGTAAAAATAAGATTAAGTGATGAGCACCTCCCAATTTGGGATATTTTTGTCTTCTATCAATCAACAACATTATAACTGATTGACACACTGACAGAAGATTGTGGAGAAAATTATGAAGGCTATGAAAAGTATGCCAGCTTAATATATTATTCGGGTCTTTATAAAATTAGACAAGATTGTGGGGCTCAGGAGGTAGAGCACTTGCCTAGCATGAGCATGGCCCTGGGTTTGATCACCAGATCAGGTGAATAAGTTTATATTCTTTTTTTTTTTTTTTTTTTAGGTGTTGGGGATCAAACCCAGGGGCTTCCTTATGCTTGGCAGGTACATCAGGAAGACGTATCCTGGAGCTACATTTTGAATCCTCAAGCTAGTATCTTTATTAGCTTTATCTTTTATGGTGGCTCAAGTGGTAGAGTGCTTGCCTAGCAAGCCATAGGCCTGAGTTCAATCCACAGTACTGCAACAAACAAACGAACAACAACAAAACCCTCAAAACTAATACCTTTTTTTTTCTTTTTGGTGGCACTGGGGTTTGAACTCAAGGCATCACATTTACCAGGCAGGTGCTCTTACCACTTGAGGCCATTCCAGCAGCCCTTTTTTGTGATGGGTGTTTTAGAGACAGGATCTCATGAACTATTTGCCTGGGTTGGCTTTGAACTTTGATCCTCCTGATCTCTGCCTCTTGCGTAGCCAGGATTATAGTAGTGAGCCACCGGCACCTGGCTTCAAAACTTCTTTATTGTTTTTGTTCCACTGTATCTTATAGCTGTAACAACAGCCCAAAACACAAATATATAATAAGGAAAAAACTAAAATTTTAGAGTAGAGTCACCCTCCCAAACAGAACATCAAGGCAGATGGGAGAAGCCCCTCCCCCAACTTGCTTTTAAAATTAAATTGAGGGAAGTAGAAAGTAGGGATATATATATAATATATATATAATATATATTATATATAATAATATAATATATATAATATATATAATTGATAGATATAGTGGAATGCTAAACACTATAGTCAAATGACAAAATAGGTATTTACTTACAAGGAGTTCCTCTGTTGGCTTCTTCCATAGTTACCCTGACGTAGGGCTTACTAAAGTCAACTTCAATTTCATCTGAAAAAGGAGCTGGCTGCCGTAAGCCCTGAAGAGGAAAATGAAGAAGAAGCAAATTAAATTCAGTGGTACATATTGAAATGCCTCCTGCCATGCATTGATATTATTTCTTCCTTAAATGTTTGATAGAATTCACCAATGAATCCATCAGGACCTGTACTTATCTTCATGGGAAGATTATTTTGGGGGTGCTAGAGATTCAACCCAGGGCCTCAAGCATACCAAGCAAATGCTCTACCACAGACATATACCCTCAGTCCACTGAGATTTTTAATGGCTAACTCAATGCTTTTATTTGATATAAGTCTAGTATTTCATCTTGGGTCAGTTTTGGTAATTTGTCTCTTTCCAGAATTTATTTATTTCATTTGAATCATCAAATATTTTAGCAATAATTTCATCCAACTTACTAATATTTTAGCATAAAGCTGTTAATAATACAATATTCCCTTATAATTTTTGTTTGTTTTGGTAGTACTGGGGATTAAGCCCAGTGCCTTGTTCATGCTAGGAAAGCACTTCCATTTGAATTATGTTACCAGTCCCCTTATAATCTCTTTAGTTTCTGTAAGGCTGTAGTGAAGTCCACTTAGAATTTTAAATTCTAAGCAGATATTATCATAATTGGGCTGAATCCAGAGATTAGAAAGACATTTTGTTTTCAGAAAGGATAGATTTTTTGAATTATGTTTTAACATTAATCCCCTCCCTGCTTTCGGTCTCGTGAAAGGGTCTAACTATGTAGTCCAGGCTGGCATTACACTCATGATCTTCCTGCCTCAGCTTCCAGAGTGCTGGGATTATAAGCACAGCATACCACCTTGCCTGGCCTAAAAATTGATTATGTAAACTTACTTTAAGATATGCTGACGATATAGGGATTTCTCTATATATTAAATTAGAGAAAACATTTATCCTACAGAAGTTATACAAAGAGATGCTCAATGTATTATTTTTCTTTTTTGCAGTACTAGGTTTTGGACTCAGGGCCTCATGCTTGCTAGACACGTACTCTACCACTTGAGCCACTCCACCAGCCCTTTTTTGTGAAGGGTTTTTTGAGATAGGGGCTCTCAAACTATTTGCCTGAGGCTGGTTTTGAATCCTGATCTTCCTGATCGCTGCCTCCTGAGTAACTAGGATTACAGGTGTGAGCCACAGGCGCCTGCCTCTCAACAAAAATTTGTTTCTAACATTATGTGCATACTCACAAAATAATACAAATTCTATGATTCCTTCTACACAAAGGTTAAAATAGGGAAAACTAACCGAGGGTGGTAAATTGAAACCAGAGAATAAAGAAAGTTGGCAAAAGAAGATACTGACCACCAGGAAGAATGAGAATCTTTTGGAGGCATGAGTGATTACATAAATGTGTATCTAAAAATTTGTTGAATTGTACTTAAATTTTGTGTACTTTATACTATTAAATTACACCTCAAGAAAAAAAGACTCAGCAATAAAGAACGAAATGTTAACACATGGTAAAACATAGATGAACCTTGAAAACATTATGCTAAATGAAAGAAGACAGCCACAAAAAACTACATATTGTATGATTCCATTTATATATAATGTCCATAGCAGGCAAATCAATAGACAGAAAGTATATTATTCGTGGTTACCTTGGGCTGGGAGAGTTGGGGGAAATGGGGAGTGACTCTAATGGGTATGAGATTTCTATTTGGGGTGATGAAAATGTCTGAAAGTGATTGTGATGATGCTTGCAAAACTATGAACATAAAATCATGGAATTATATATCCTTTAAGTAGATATGTGAATTATAATGGTATATGAATTTTTAAAAGCACACATATACATATATATGAAACAGAAAAAAATTATGCTTATAAACAATAGCACATGTGGATAAAAGACCAAGCCTACTGTCCCTGAAAGTTAAGGTCAATGGTGTGAGGGAACCAGTTAAATATTCAGGAATTTTGTAAGATGGTTATTAAACCACTGTTGGTTTGAAATCTGTCATAGAAATCAGCAAATGCTACATATCAGACCTATCTTCCCCTTAGTGAGCCAGTTTACTAGGCCACCACTGGTTACTTTGCATACTTAGAGATCACAGATCATAGAGAAACACTTATGAATTTTTGTTCTAGTAAAGTTGCAGTGAAAGAAAGGATGACAAAAAGATTTTGTGAAGGAAAAATGGGAAGGACATGGTAAAAAGAAAAACATGTTGTCACTTAAGAGAGGAGTTTAAACTAAGGTAAATAAGATTATGGTACCATTAGCAAGAACAGAGAAGTTTAAAAAAAGGAGTTGCCAGGTGCCAGTGGCTCATGACTATAATTCTAGCTATTCAGGAGGCAGAGATCAGAAGGATTGCAGTTGGAAGCCCGTTCAGACAAATAGTTCCGCAAGACCCTACCTTAAAAATACCTAACACAAAAATAGGGCTGGTGGAGTGGCTCAAGGTGAAAGCCCTGAGTTCAAGCCTCAGTACTGCAAAAAAAATAAAATAAAATAACATAAATAAAAAAAAGGAGTTGACTCCTAGATAACAAATTCCTCTTGAGTGTGAGATAATACCATTATATCAAAGAAATGTCAAAAAGACAGAAGCTGGGCTGGTGGAGTGGCTCTAGTGGTAGAGCACCTGCTTAGCAAGCACGTAAAGCCCTGAATTCAAACCCCAGTGCCACCAAAAAAAAAAAACCACACAAGACACTGATGTTATACTAATAAAGGTAAGTGATAAAGAGGACAAAACAAAATCTTTAAAAAAAATACATAAAAAAGTAATGGTTAAGGGGAAACTTCCGAGTTTCTTATTATTAGAGGGAGGAGCCAGAAGATGAGAGAGAGGCTTAAGAAGAACTCTGATAAAGGTACATCACAGAGACCAAAGAATAATTTCAAAGAAGAGGATTACTGTTAGGTTTTTTTGTTTTGTTTTGTTTTTGACAGTAGTTGTGTTTGAACTCAGGGCCTCACATTTGCTAGCTAGACAGGTGCTCTACCACTTGAGCCACTCTACCAGCTGTGTGTGTGTGTGTGTGTGTGTGTATGTGTGTGTGTTAGGTATTTTTAGATAGGGTATTGTGAACTATTTGCTCTAGTTGGCCTCGAACTTTGATCCTCCCGATCTCTGCCTCCTGAGTACTTAGGATTTCAAATCTGAGCCACTAGCGCCTGGCCTGGTATGGTTAAATGTTCCAAGAAGCCAGGCATAGTTGCTCATGCCTGTGATACAGCACTGGGGAGGCAGAGGTGGGAGGATCATTGAGTTCAAGGCCAGCCTGAGCTACATTCTGAAATCTTATCTCAATAAACCAAAAAGTCCCAAGAAAAGCAAAGAAAACAAGAAGTGAGAAAGTATTTAAATTTGAAGATTCAATCAAATACTAGTAGCTGGGGACATGGCTCAAGTGGTAGAGTACCAAGCAAGCATAAGATCCTGAGTTCAAACTCCAGTACTGCCAAAACAAAAACAAAAACAAGGAATAAATTGGTACATACTACTACCTGGATGGACCTTAAAAACACTGTGTTAAACAAATGAAGCCAAACACAAAAAGTCACATAATGTGTGATTTCATTCATATGAGATACTCAGAATAGGCAAATCCAAAGAAATAGAAAGTAGATTATTGGTTGCCAGGTAATAGGGAGTGATTGCAAATGAGTATAAGAGATTTTTTTGAGATAGTGTTTCACTATATATATATCCCATGCTGGATTGGAACTCACTGAGTTCAAGGCTAGGCTTGAACTCATGATCCTCCTGCCTCAGCCTTCTGAGTGTTGGCATTACAGTTATGAACCACAACGCACAGCGAGGGAATTTTTTTTTCATGTCAAACTACTTTATTTCAACTTTATTACTACTAAATAACAGTGAAGCTTAATATAGTACTTGTCTTGCATCTAGCCTCCTTGCAGTACACAGACTTAAAATTAAATACAGAAGGTGTAAAGGGGAGAGGGTGCAGAGACTTCTAGAGGGTGGCAAGATGAAAGACAAAGAAGGGTTTGCTATATTCTCTTTGCCAAGTCCAGGCATACCACACAATCACAGCAGTTTTGTATTGGGCGTTACAGAAAATAGGATGGCAAAACTATTAGTGCTGCTATGAATAGTCAGGAAAAAGTTCTTTTGGATACAATAATGCACTCAGAGATAACTTGTAATTTGGACAATACTGTTTGTCATAATCTTTGCATGTGTAGATTTTGATACTTTATGTAGCATTTAGAAGCTAACCTCTGCCAAGTGCCAGTGGCTCACACCTGTAATCCTAGCTACTCAGTAGGCAGAGATCAGAAGGTCTCGGTTTGAAGTCAGCACAGATGAATAGTTTGAGAGACCCTATCTTGAAAAAACCCATCACAATAAAATGGCTAGTGGAGTGGCTCAAAGTGAAGGCCCTGTGTTCAAGCTCTGGTACCAGGGGAAAAAAACAAACAAACAAACAAACAAAACCAGCAAGGTCATCTTTTCATCTTTGCAACTCCAATGCAAGCAACTGGCACACAGAGGTTTTTAATACATGCTGGTTGAAGTGAGATTGTGGGATATATTTAGCAAAACCATGGCCAATTTTCCTCTCAGTTTAAGAACTTCAATTATACTCATGATAAATATTAAGATAGACTAAATGCCTTACTTTTTGTAAATAATATTTTTGTGATTTTTTTGTGGTGCTAGGAATTGAATTCAGGGCCTGTGCAGTGGTAGAGTGGCAAACACTCTACCACTGAGTTACAACCCCAGCTCTCATAATTCTTTGGAGTGTACCTTCAGAAACATGTATATCAGTGGATTCTCTATCTTACAACATAACCTTATTCCTTAATTTTCTTTGTTGACTTTTTCTCCCTCTTGTGTCTTCATCCTTCCTCACCAACTAAGCCACTTAACACTTGATGATCCTTTCTATTCTTTTTTCCTCTTGGAAGGAAGCATTCTTCTATAGCCAATGAGGCTGGGTGGAGTTGCATGAGCCTGTGATTCCAACAACTGGGAAGTAGTTGGCCTCACAGTCTGAGGCCAGCCTTGGGAAAAA